CAAAATATTTTCTGGATAATAAGTGATAATGGAAGAAAGGTTTTAGCCTTTCACTGTGCTACTATATTATGATCAACTCTAGATAATTCCCCACAGACAACTTTGAATTTGATATTAAATGTCACTTTTGAAATTTTTAAAGCCATCCATTTGAGACTTTAGTTCACAGCACCTAATTCAGATAAAAATTGCAAAGCTTTGTCTTATATGATTGGTTCTGATAAAGGAACATTGACTTCTGACTTTACAGAACTATTCTACAACCATAGTGCTATAACAAGTGCACTATTCCCATCTTGAAACTTGAATTTACTGCTATTATTATGATAATAATAATAATAGCACACACAGTTAAAGCACACAGTAACACACAGTTAAAGCAATAAACACACATGTCATCCCAGTACTCACATACTCTTTTGGAGTTATACATTGGACTCACACAGATCTCGAGCAACTCCAAAGGAAAACAAGAACAACACTTACTAAGCATAAACATCATCATCCTAAATCTGCCACAGAAAGATTAACCCTTNTCCCAGTACTCACATACTCTTTTGGAGTTATACATTGGACTCACACAGATCTCGAGCAACTCCAAAGGAAAACAAGAACAACACTTACTAAGCATAAACATCATCATCCTAAATCCGCCACAGAAAGATTAACCCTTCCACGTAAAGAAGGCAGACGTGGCCTGATTGACATAGTTAACCTTCACTACAAACAAATATAGTCACTGTGAGAGTTTTTCTACAGGAAACAAGAAACATCACAATTACATAAAGCAGTAACTCTAGCAGACTCAAATAGCACACCATCAAACTTATACTCACATCATACAGACATGATACAACACACAAAAAGCATAGACACCATCAAACAATCGAGGGCTCAAAAGGCACTCCATGGCAGGCATCCTTATGACCTGGCCCAGTATTTTGTTGACAAAACTGCATCAAACAGCTGGTTAGATCAAGGATGCCTCTTTGGGGAGACGGAAGGATTCATAATTGCCATACAGGATCAGATCATAAATACTAAAAACTACAGAAAACACATACTCAAAGATACAACACTCACAAATGACACATGCAGAAAATGTCACCTCATGCCAGAAACTATATAACACATCACTTCTGGCTGCAAGCTCTTAGCACAGACAGATTACTTACATAGACACAATCAAGTAGCAAATATAATACACCAAGAGCTTGCAAAGAAACACAAATTATTAGACATCCACGAACCATACTACAAATACATTCCACAGACAGTATTGGAAAACAACACGCACAAAATGTACAACAACAGAGCCATAATCACAGATAAAACAATTTATCACAACAGACCAGACATCACACTCATTGACAAACACAGTAAAATCACATACATTATAGACAGCCATTCCAAACATTCACAATGTACAAAACACATGCACTGAAAAAATTAGCAAGTATGATGTCTTATTAACAAGATATCTTATTTCCTGGGTGAGTTCACCCAGGAAATAAGACATCTGTGGAGGATGGATAGGGTGCTTATTGTACCTGTCGTTCTCTCCTGTACAGGTGTGATACCACACACACTACACAAAGTCTGGGAACATTACAATTGAATAGAAATACATACATCACACTACAGAAGGCCACTATATTGAATACATGCCACATTGTTAGGAAATTCCTGAATACAGACACTGACACATTTATTTAATTTTTGTTTTTGGTTGCTATGCCTTGACTCTGGTCCAGCATAGTACACAGCCACCGGTGTCAACCGAGTATAACCCGCTAAACCCAATATAATAATAATATGAGTAGCACTTCTTGGTTTTTTTTGATAATTTCCACAAGTTTAATTTTCCCCAATCTTTAACACTCCTGCTAATTTTCTTATTTTGTACTTTATAATATTCAATAATTTATCTTATCTTTTAAATGTCTGTAATTCAAGTGGAACCATATTGATACTTGCAGATTCTCTTTTCAAACACACAATCTGTGGTGAAGACAGAAGACATGTATTTTAAGAATAAACAAGAATAAAGACAAAATTTTTCAAAATAGCCAATCAGAAATACATTTGTATTTATCAATAAAACACATCATAAGCAAGAAGATGGTCCTCCAAGTAAGATACTGGCCCTACTCAGAATGGTTGTTGAATGTGTAGGCCATTCTGCAATTGATAAATGCAACTGATGAATGTATCACTAAGTAGCAATTAGAAAAATTTCAACCTATCATAAGCAATATAAATGTGAAAAAGAGAAAAATTGAAAGAGTGTAAGACCACAGGTCTAATAATTGTCTAGGATAGTGGTTCCCAAACATTTTTGATTCTAGGTGCCCTTGCTAAATGCAGATTTTTCCAAGGTACCCTATGTCAAATTCTAACAAGTACATTAAATTCTAACATTATAAAAATTTTATAACATTTTGTGGTGCCCATGAGGAAGCCGTGGTGCCCTAGGGCAGTGTTCCGCAACCTTTTTCTACTTGCGGCACACCCATGACTCAGCACGGCACACCAATATGTTATTTCCCTCAAAAACACATCATATGATACTATTAATTACATAATGCCACTAACCTATTATTATTGTTATTAAAAGACATCAAACTTGTGAGCAAATTTATTTTACATATAATTTCTTAGAATACATAAAAATGCATGGCTTATAATAAAGAAGAAACAATCATCATTTTATTTCATCAGTGCTGCGGCAGAGAATGAAATACAAGCTTAAGAAAAACAACAATTGTGATAAAAATATATAAATAAAACTTGAAATTAACAGAATATGTAAAAGTTCACGTCACACCTTTCACCATGTGACGGCACACTGGTTGCGAAACACTGTCCTAGGGTGCCACAGCGCACACTTTGGAAACCACTGGTCTAGGAAACTGTTTTAAACCAACCTAATTGACATATCATTTTAGTTAATTGAAAAATATTAAAAACAATTGTTTCTGATAATTATGACTGTAAGGTGTATGTGTCCTGTGGACTTATGTGAATAGAGACACTAAGCAAACTCCTATAATGAGAAGTTAATCAACATAGACATTTTATTAGGGTCATAAAATTGATTTGACGGTAAATTTTATTAACAACAACAACAACAACAGAATATACAGTATTGAGTTTTTTGGAATTGATTTGACTGCAACTGAAGAAACACCAAACAAAGGAAGTCTACTTGATGAGAATCTACTACTATGCCCATTAAGAAAGATGGAGACAGCAACAAAAAATGCATTTCATGTGTCCATAACAAAGATCATCTGCTCAAGAGGTCAACTGTAATGAAATTACATACTTTTTATATTGGATCACAAATTGTTACAGAGGAATGTCTATTTTAGAGAGGTGTCTGTTAAGAGGTTTCGCTGTATATAAATCTTATTTTAACTCTCCATTATTTGATTAAGTAACTCAATTATATGATAAAGGAATTAATTTGCTACAATTTTACTCATACATCATGAACAGTTGATTTTAATATTAAGTATTTTTCATGAGAATTTGTAACCAATCATTAATTATATACAAAAATAACTTTTTCTCAATATAGTGTTTTAAAGTATAATTTTTTCAGAGTTTACGCCTTTATATAATAATTTTTTTCTTAATATATGTTCAGGCATACACTAAAATGTTAATTTTTCTTGAATCAGTTAATTTTAATTTAAAATATTTTTCTTATTGTTTACATGTTCAAAATGTAAACAAAGTAAAATATGAAAGATTTATTTTTTACTTGAATGAACTAAGAATGAAAACATCATGCTGACATGTAACATTTTAATAATAATAAAAATCAGCAATTATCGAAAAGTAATAACTACATTTCAGCTGTTTCTTTTAAACTATCAATTCATATGATTGCAACTAATAATAAATTTGTATCAGCAAAAAATTACATTTAAAACACTCAATTTCTGTTCTAATAATTGTGATTGAGTTAAGTTACTATCATACACACGAAATACTTTAAATTTAATAATCAAAACCATAAAATTAAGAATAATAATTTAATTTACAGACATCTTTCGAAAACTTCAAACTACCTACCTCTGTTTATCATACATTTAGTAAAAGTCAAAGCACAGGCACACACGTGGTAAAGCAGCTTTAATATAAATGGATAAACAAGCCAACGATACGGCCCGCTTCATTTGAAACAGGCTATATTGTCCAGTGTTAATTTCGGCTTTATTTTTAAAAATTTAGTAGTAAACTGCCAGATGACATACTATATCAGAAGACAATATCCTAAACTGTCAACTTTATTAACCAATATTTAATAGGTCTAGATTCTGAATAACCACTTTTTAATTTAAATTACAGAAAGTAATTTTGTATATTTGTTAAAGTTTCTCAGAGTTTTCTTTGCATAACTATGTTCTCATTATTAATAAATCTATTAATGACAACATTACAACTGTATTATAATAGATTAAAAAACAAAATTGTAGTTTATAATTACAAAAAAAAAGGAACCAAATGAAATTCTTAGTAGAAAAACTTTTGGACTTCCTTTACAAAAAAAAATTATTATATTAGTCAAATGATATTTTATTTTAAAAACTTTTTGGTAAATCAAGGTCATTACTAACATAAATAAACTTTATTCACAAATGTTTAATAAACAATTATTATTTATAATTAAAATAAACATATCAGAAGTAAACAAGTTAACTTTGACAAAAAACAAAAGAAATTAGCATTTTTATTTAAATTACGCATTAATATTTGAATAAATATATGACACATTCGTCCACGACAATAAATTCTCTTAAAATATTTACATTATGAAGTAGAACGTTTATATGAAATATTCTATGTACGAGAAGCAATCTTGATAATAATTATAATATAAGATTATATTTACCAATACTAATTAGGTTGAAATCAATAAAATGATATAGACATTGTAGGTAAAAGTGAATACGCAACAAACAAAACATGAATAAATAGAAGTGACTCACTTGAGACCAAGACCTCTGAGATACTGTCCAATTAACCTGATAATATCTTGCTCCATCTGCGACTTCAGTTTAACGTCGGACTGCTGAGAATCACCATTAGCAACACCATTTTCTATTGCTATGTCGGGCTGCTGTAGGCCTATACCTTGACTTGTGCATTGTTGCAGTTGTTGTTGGGTCGATGGCATGTTGACACTCAGGCGCTGCTTTTTAAGCGGTGGTGAAGGTATTCCACCGTCGTCAGACTCCGCACTCGATTCCAGGCTTGCTAGTTTGTATAAATATAGTACATGTGGAAAGTTTCTTTCTGTTTCAACTCTTTCATACACAAATTTGTGTATAGACACAAAACTAACACTCGCACTTAACAAATCTATCCTTCTAGCGACGACAATGCGACCTCTAGTGCTCGTTAATGCCATTTTCGAAATTCCTTTTAAATTAATATGAATTATATTTACATTTTAAATACAAACTTCTTTGATAATATTTATAATGTATTCGAATGAAGTCGTTTATTTTAATATAATTAATATATTTAAATTTTTCTGTAATATCAAAATGTGTAAGAATCGTATATATATTTTCAACAGAATCCACTAAAACCACAAATTCTACTGTTTTTAAAATGTCATAAATTATCAAATATATCTATTTAATTAATTAATTAATTGTGAGTTTTAATTACTCGTTTTTATTTTGTTTTAATTTTCTTCCTGTGGACATTAATTAAGTAGTGATATTTAATCGTATCCTTAATGGGTTTGGCCAGACCTGTAATGGGTAGGGATCCGACATACCCTCAAAAGCTTTCTGGTTTCTCACCACGACTAAATTTCGGGTCCTCATAATGATATGTACTGTATATGCCTTAATAACATTCAAAAATTTTCAAATTAAGACGGCGCCGAATCGAAGAAAAAGCCGAAATTTATACATTTCAATTTTTTCTAGAAACGATTAGAAAAACAATGTTCTATGTAGATTATATAAGTCGATTAACCAAAGGGCGTTTCATCACATATTTCATTGGAAATAAACTTATCGGCAATGTCCGACGATATGAAATTTTTAAAAGAACACATTCGCGTGCTATTGCTCTATCAATTCAAAAGACCACAATGCAAAGAAAGCTCATGATCTTGTCTGCAAAACGTTTTTTAAAGCGTTAGTGGGTGAGAAAAAGCACACAGTTTGAACAACTGGATCAAACTGAACACCAAGATCAAAGAACTTCGTCCATAAATTGACGAAGTCCGATACCGCCACAATAGTGCGCCAGCACGTAGCGTGATGATGATCTTAGAGAAGATGACCAGTCTGCGCTGGGAGGTTCTGCTTCATTCACCTTATAGATCAAACTTGGCACTAACTGACTACCGTTTATTTCGCGTCCTACAGAACCGTATTGCCAACATACAGTTCAATGACAATACCCGACGCTCGAAATTCTTCGAAAAAAACCCGTCGTTTTAGGCCCTGTACACACTAGGCGTTTTTCAACGCGCGCTCTTAAACGCGCGTTTAAAAGAACCAAGAGTTCTATGTAGCCGTACACACTCAAAAGCCAAGCGCGCGTTAAACGCGCGTTTTGCGAGCGCTTATAGATTTTTGTTAAAACGCGCGTTTTGCGAGCGCTTTACGGGCGCTTTGAGATATATGNAGTAAACTTTTTCAAAATGTCTAAATTTCACCTTACAACCTGATATTAATTTGAAAATTATTGAAGTCTTTGTGTTTCTTTTTTCTTTTGCAATTCTAAGACAAACTACACAATATACAGTAAATAAGAACGCATGGATGTTGTCAAAACTAACTAGCTGAAAAAGATACACATCTACATGCATGCCGAAAAGAGAAAAATTTCTTTTTATGGGCAATTTCAATGCACATTTGATTTTACCACCAAATACAACTTATACATTTCAACCTTTAAATTTTTGTTCTTTTTTATTTTATCGTCTTATGGGCACTAAGAGAACCTTTTTTTCAGGCCTATCGTTTCAAGCCCATCGTTAGTTCGGCCAAACCCACAATGCAGCAGCCAAATAGTGAGTGATACTAGCCAACCTTTTTCGGGAGGAACCACTGCAGATATGTTAACTTCCCTTGCGGAATTGAATCCGGACTGGTCGAAATATACCAGGAATTTTTCGATCCGTCTGGATTCGATTCTGGTCTCCCAGAACAGTAAGCCGCCACCTTAACCATTAATTCGTGATTAATTCAGGTCGAATCCATTAATTAATTGGTTCGGCCTGAATTAATCACGTGGAGTTGTCCAGATTTTCTTCGGACTAGTGACACCTAAATAGGGGCCATTTAGAAAGAGCCATAGAAAGGCCTCCAGGGAGGCATCCTCCTCGGCGGATGGCCCACGTGTCGTGTTGTCGTATGTAAATAAAGCAATCTTTTGAAGTAAAGAAGTAATTGTCATATCAAATATCAATGCGAAGGAGACTGAAATTATTATCAATTAAATTATAAATTCATTTTCGACTCTGTTTATAAACTTAAATATCGTTAAAAAGTTAAGATTTTTAATTATACTTTTTAATATTTTAAAAAATCTTAGCCACGTGGTAATTACAAAATGAATAATTTGATTATTAATAGAAAGTACAAATTATTATCATAAAAGCAGATTTTCTTACCATTTCCCATACTTAAAGCTTCCATAGAGTTTTACGAATGAAACGAATTCGTAATTACATTTTTTTTAAATATAAAAGTATATGTTCTATTTTTTAAATTCTGAAATAATCTTCGATTTGACGGCGTAATTAGAATTAACGAAAAATAAAATGGAAAATAATTCTACAAAAATTGTAAAAATATACGTAAAATTTAAAAAAATTATTAATTTAAGAGGAAATTTCTCTTTGTTATTATTTTATTTTTAAATTAATTTCATATTTTTTCGCATCCTTAAAGAAGATTTGATACTGAAAAATACAATATATTAGAGTTATTTTATTTCTTTTACCATTTAAGATTATTTAATACCATTTATATTTCTATAATTATTTTCAGAAATTAACAAGTATGACTGAAGAATCTTTGCGAAGGTTATTAAGTGATGACGAAGTTTCTACTAGTGACGAAAGCACCGACAAAAATTTTATAACACGTGATTTAGATGCGAAATCCTTTTCCGAGAAAAAGCTGTCTACAGACATTTTTATATATATTAATGATGAATGCTACCAAGCTCATTCTTCAGTACTATGTCATCATAGTCTTTTTCTAAAGAAATTATTGACCGGTAATAGAAAGGAAAAGGTAAGTCTTAAGCAACTGTTTTAAAATAAGTTTTACGGCATTAAAGCCGGATTAAATCGGGCTGTATATTACCTTTCTGCCCTGTGTGCACTAAGACGGCCTCTTTTTTGCAAGCTCATTATGGGTTCGGCCAGGCCTACAATGGGACGGGCGGTTGGTGAGGGACGGGGCCCTGACATATCCGAATGGACCACCCCCCGAAAAATTCCTGGGATACCCGGGATCGAATCCGAACTGGTCAAAAAAGTCAAGCAATTTTTGGGGGCGATTCGTCCGGATATGTTCCACCTCTCTCTCACCACCCGGCCACCCCGTTGTGGGCCTGACCGAATTTGTAATGGTTTGGTGTTATTCGATTACGACAACGTGGGGATCTGTCCAGGTGAAATGTCTCCCCGGGATGTCTTTTATGGGAAATTGACCTCTATCTAGATCAGGCCTGGCCAACCCAAATTGTTTCGCGGGCCACTTTGATCACGTGTGGGCCACAATTTAGGAAAACAAGCTTTGAAAAAAGTAAAACAAATATAAAATGAATAAGATTTTATTGTTATACCAAGAGTTCGTACTTGCACTCACGCATTATAACAATGACACATGCAAATTTTCATTTATTTAATTGTTTTGTATACACATAACGGGAAACAAAAGTTTTAATAAATATATAATATCGCTTAGCGGGCCACACAATTTAACGTGACGGGCCGCGGATTGGCCAGGCCTGATCTAGATGTTAATAACGTGAAGAAAACATGGAAAACTCCACGTGACTACCCCGTTGGCCATGCCCGAACCCACTAGCAGTGTTCGGTGGTTTTATCCACTCGGCCACTGGTGGGCCGAACCGGTAACTGGTTTTGCTAAGAAAAGCCCTCTTACTGCACAGGGCGAAGCCAGTTTAAAAATAAATTAAAAATTGGTGAGAGTTTTGCTAAAAATTAAAATTAACTTTTTAAAAACAAATTAAAGAAAATAAATTTATTTATGCAATGAAAGCATGAATCGGTTACACGAATATCTCAACTCGTATTCGATATGATATTGCGGAGAATATATTATTAAAATAATGTATTACAAAATGTAATAGTTACTACTATAAAAAATGTTTAAAAAATTAAAATATAATAAATACCGAACATCAAAAGATTGTAATATATAATTTATATTTAATATATTAATGGATTTTTTGGCGAAACACGAACGAGTTTGATTTTGATAATTACAAGTAAACCATAGAAACGAAGCGATATTTTAATCGACAAATAAGAACGGGTTTCGTTAATGGATTCAATGGTCAATCCAAAATAACCTGAAAATAAAAAATAATTTGAAAAATAAAGATATTTTCCCAATACCAGGTTTGGGATAAAAATATTTTTTTTTAAAAAAAACCTATTTTTAATGAAATACTTTTAGATAAATACTTTTTGTGTTATTAATCATAATTTTTTTTTATCGAAATTAGACCGAAATATCTTTATATATTGAAGAGGTTGTGGAGAGTAATATTTTAAAAATACTATTTTACCTGTAATCACTCATATTAATAATGCTATGTAAATCTAAAGACAAAGATAATTATTAGGGATGAAAACAGATATAGAATACCGGAAGAGTCCAGGAATAACGTTGCCAACTAATCAATGCAACGAAACTGTTCCTTTTCAAAGCAGGAGAAAAGGAATTCAATTGGACATGTTGTATGAGTCGGCAACAAAACAATCACTAGTGCGCTAATTTTCTCATTTGAAATCAAAATTTGCTGTTTTATGGGTAATAAAAAACCTCAGTAAATTTGCACATTTGCAAACCCTATTAGTAAGTATATACTCCTATAATTAAAGGCAGTGCCGAATTAACCAATAGACAAATAAGACAAATGTCTACGGCACGTAATTCGGATAGGATCGACTTCTTACATATCTTTTTGTATAGGCCTATATTTCTTATACCAGAAAATCTCTTGACATATAATTAATATTGTATTATTGTCTGTATTTTCTATTATTAATAAAAATTTTAAGTAACATTACTTAAGATTCTTTAGAAGCAACTTATTTAAATGGGACCCAATTTAAATTTTGTCTACGACCCGCTAGAGGCTTAATCCGACACCGACTACAAAAATAATGAAATCAAAATAATTATTACTGTGGATATCCACAGTATTAAATAAGATTTTGAATGCGTTGTTCTTGTATAACACGGTATAACACGGCATTCCTACAACACGGTCTGAAAATTGGAGACATCCCGTACAAAACGAAATAATAGTGTTTAGCAGTGAAGTAAAATTAATATTACCGTGCAATACTTTTGATGTGATTGTTAGTTAATTATTGATTGCTTTAATAAACACATTTCTCTTAATTAAATAGTATAAAAGTACACTTTTACTAACTTTTGGAACCTAACCCTATGCTTTGTACTAATCCTTTGTTTCGTATAGCACTGCACTTTTTCGGACTCTAACTACCGTGTTATACGGGAAATATCTGCACATTAAATATCAATAATTAAAGAAATATTTTGGTATTAAAGTAACATACAAATTTTGATCATTTGGAAAGTCAATGTTATGTTATACCTGTTCTATATATATAAAAAAAAATTGATACTTAGCTTAAAATCATCACGACACTTTTCCGAGGGAAGAGGGCGAAGCCTGGGACGAGTCAGAGAACTAAACAGTGGGTTGGACCACCTACGGTGGCAATAGTGTAATATAGAAAGTTTCCCTAGTGTAATATAACTTTAATTTATTGAATTGTCACTTTAAGATTCCTTAGTTTTTCGGTTTACCTGCATTACTTTTAATAAAGGTTAAAATATATTTTATAAAAATAAAATGCCATAATTTTATTTATTTATAAGTTATTTTATTTTATATTTTAATTTAGAAATATATTAAAATATTAAAATTACAACCGTCGATATTTGAAGCGTTGTTACACTTCATGTATACGGGTCAAATTCGACTTTCCTGCAATGTAACTTATGAATTGTTGACAGCTGCTAAAAAGCTGGAAATAAAAACTGCAGTTAGAAAAATTTATCAGGTAAAAATTAATAATACTTCATTTTTGGAAAATTTGTAACTTTAGCGCATTTATTCTAATTTTTAATTTTTTAAAACTATTTACAACTTTAATTATACTTGTTCTGTTTAGGTATAAAAATTTTGATACTAAGCAATGCAAAATTATTCCTTAAGTAAATATAATTAAAATACATTAGATCCTACTATTCGAGGTATTGTAGATCGAAGTGATGTTTATCAAAAGAGTGGCAAAACGAAAAGAATTTCAAAGGAGTAATGAGAATGTATGAAGCAGTGGCGCGTTATAGATTCGCGGGGCCCAGGCAAATTTGAATTAGGAACTCCATATTCGGTATTGACTACCGACATTTCTCTTTGGGGGACGTTTTTGGTATATATTTTCTCATAAAAGATTTGTTTGGGGCCCAGGGAAATTACCCTTTTTGCCCATACGATAACGCGCCACTGTAACAAAGAAGTCATACCACTTGAGTATGTACTAAACGATAACGGAATTCACTGTCAGTTCAGAGATGATTTTAATAATGCAATAGTAATGAGTTTGAGCCATTTGTGATCATTTTGAACTGTCATTTGTTTGATTTGTCACTTTAAAATGAGTAGTCTATATTTAACTGCCATTCCTATAAGATTTTTTCCATCTTCCTAGATCTTTCACATTTTTCTGTTATCTCACTCCTTTGAAAAGAACTGCATCCGAATAACACCGCGAATAACACAAAAATTTGTTTAATACTAAATAAACTGAATTTGCATTTATTAACTTGTATAATGTAGGTCTGTCTACTGCAGGTCAGACCTATTTATTGAACATGACGACATTTAAATTATACGATGAAACCAATGCCCCAACAGGAGTTGGGGAAAGAGCAATTGCTGTCCTGAGAATTACTTTATTCTTTATTTTCTTTGCAATTTTTAAATAACAACTTTACAAAGAAAAGTTTTATGTAGATGGCCTTCTAGTTTTCTTTAAAACTCTTTATAGGTACTGTACTATTTGAAATACTCCATGTTTTTATAGTTAGAATGTTTCTATAAAGATGAAGGTAATATAAGTACCAGGTAGAAGCAAATAATATCTGTTTAAGGAACGTGGCTTTAGTATGATTAATTGATATAAAGTGTATGTATTTTGTCTCATCCTGTGATCGCAGTTTAATAAAACACTTAATTTTATTTAAAACTATATTTATTAAAACAAATGCAGACCTAAGATTACAGTTAAAATTTTTTAGTATTGTTTTAAAATTAATATTTTGCGAGAAGTCACCGGAGTAAAATCGCTTCAAAACTTCTTGAGCCGTTTTCAACTATTGCTCATCACTGAGTCAAAATTCGCGAAAGGTTCCTTTGTCTTTTGAAACCGTAGAAAGAATGAAAAAAGTTAAAAAATAATGTTGTGTAAGGCCATCTTCAAAAAACGTATTGTAGATTTGCAGCCTCTGGAAATGCATACACACAACTGTAAATGTTTCAATAACATAATCTCATCTCAAACATCTACTATTAGGATAATTCGTAGCATATTTTCTCATTTAACATCCTCTTTCGCTACTTTTCTGATAATATTTCTTTATTTTTTTCTTATCTGATTTTATTTTAAAGATAAAACGAAATGACACAATACCTAAATCCAAATTCTAATTTTTAAAACCGTAACAGAAGGAAATATATCAGTTTATACCTATTATATATAAATTTGACTCTCTTAATTCATTTCTTAACTGAAATTTCGAATTATATTCATCTATTACGTCAGCATTTTTTATACAAGTATCATAATTGGGCCGCAATTTGAAAAACAAAATTGTTGACCTATAAATTTCCGCTGTCGTCTGTCTGTCTGTCTTTCCTAATCTCAATGTGATGTACAGGGACAAAAGACTACTAATTTGAGATGGAGAATATATATTTTAAATTAAATAAATTAAAAATATGATTAAAAACTTTAGCTCGTGTCACAATAAATAATTGTTCCATTATAAAATAATTTCTTTACGATTTCTTTAATTAGTTAAAGGAAAAAATATAGACATATTGCTCGAAATATTAGAAGTTCAAGAAATCTCTTAATTTCAGATCTAAATTTATCAATGTGGACTTTTTTTTTTACTCTCCTTTAATATACTTATATTTAAAAAAGTAATACAGTATTACAGTAAAACCTGTGTAAAACGGAACCTTAATAAAACAGAAACCTAATCAAACCGGGAGGAATGTTTCATATCGTGCGAGTCCGGTTTACACAGGTTCTACTGTATATTGAAATCAACTGTCAATGAATTTTTACGCTAGTTACATATTGAGAATCGTAAAATTATCATTTAACTCTTTAACTCTGTTAAAGAGTTAATCAATTAGCAATTTAAAATAACGAATAAATATTTAATTACGTAGATTATTTCTGAAGAATTAGATGAAATAAGTAAATTGTTTTATATTTACGTAATATCAAAGCAATGTGGAATTCAAAAGAAATGGTTATTAGCATATGAAACAATTCTTAAACGTTTCGAAGAATCGGTTTTATGTCTCGAGTTTCTAAATCTCGAAGTAGAAGAAATTTGTGAAATCCTTTCTGGAGATTGTATAGCTGCGAGAAGGTAAAAATAAAACTACTGTATTTTAAATTCATTCATTTATTTATCCTTAACTTTCTCTACATTTAAATAAATTTTTAGTGAAATTATAGTATTTTTGGCTTCTCTAAGATGGATACAATATGATTATTTAAAAAGGGAAAAATATGCCATTCGAGTTGTGAGCTGTGTCCGATTCTCGATGATGACTCTCGATGAAATTCTTGCCTGCTATCATCCACCTATATTACAAGATATTGTACACATACCGGAGATACGTGCAAAGTTATTAACTTCGACATGGTCGGTGAATTATGTTTAATCATGCCGCAAGCTTCATTTAAACACGCAGCATGTTTATATGCTGTATGTTTCTTGTAAGCAATAAAACTTATTTGGAATCTTGAAATCCACATTATGGCACTTTTTATAATAATTTTCTACTTCGATCATTATCGGACCTTTTTATTGGGTTGTAATTTGAAACAATAGGATAGCAACAATTACCAAATGTTTAAGAGCAAGAGGGGCTTCAGCCACCCCCCCCCAATTTATAGGACTATTTTAGTTCTATAAATTGGGAATGGCCGCAGCTCCTCTGGAGATATGCGGCCCCCGGTATCGACTCCCGGTACAGTACCACCCATTTCGTTTGGTCGGTGTAATTTCTTAGTACCACGTATATATTTTTAATTAAAATCAAAACTACTAAATCAAATCATTAATGAAATATCTATGGAGTTCTTTATAGAATTTTTGATACTGTATGAATTATATTTTATATGTGTAATTTTTTTTTAAATTAGAAAGTTCGGGTATTATGTATTTGACAAATTTTGAGTTAAGAATTAAAATAAAACTTTATACTCTCTAAAATATACAAGATGAAATTAAATTTTAAAAATTTATATATTTCAATGTATTTATTTATTTAATAATATGTGGTAACATGGATTCTATTTGGTCTATTTTATAGCTACGTAGCAGCTAAGAATTTGGGAATGGAGTCCGAATTCGAACAGTTTTCGTCTCTGCCTAGGACGTATACCGTGGGTGGAAAAATACACCATTTGTATTAAAAGTATCGTTAATATAAATTATAAAAAATTAAATACAATAAAAATATTTTTGGCTATTAAATAAGTAGATTTTGGTTTTGTTTTCCAAGAACGTTGACATTTATATTTAAATTAGCAGATAAACCCGGAGTTGCTCGGGCAAAAAGTAATGATAGAGAAGATTAAGATTATTACATTATAGCCAATCTTACCCGTTTTCACATAATGCAAGAATTAGGTCCTCCTGTTTCCAGACTAATTAGAAAATTTTTAGATGGATCTAAAAATATGTTCGATTTCCCGCAAAAAAAACGCAAAAAACCACATTTGCGCCTGTAAATTTTGCACGTCGCTTTCTCTTAACATTTTCATTGTTAGCTCTTCCCCCGCGGGGAAGTGTTAACAACCTCTCTCCCGCTGGGGAAAATGTCGAAAAATTCCTGTTTAGTGTACGTTCTCATGACGTACCCTAACTGTGTACCAAATTTCAACCATCGACTCCTAACCATTTGGGGTCTGCGCTTATTATTATTATTATTATTATTATTATCAACCCATCTCGATTATATATATNTAAATAAATTAAAATATTATTAAAAATTTCAGCCCGATAGTCACAATGAATAATTGCTGGTTTTACTTTAAATCTTTTCCATTAAAATTAATTATGCAAGCTTCAAAGTATCAGCTTTGTTTATACAATGCCTGATTTAGACTTGTTCGTCGTTATAATATTATTCAACCAACCTGTAACAACTCTCTATAATTTTGAGTTTAATCTAACAGTTAAACGGATGTAATATATTTGCAGTACACAAAGGTATTGTTGCACAATACATGTAAAAATACAGATATTGTTTTGAGGATAGTTCATTTTATTGTTAACAGTCTCATTTATTAAAAGTTATACTTTATACTTTTTATTTTAAATAACTTTTAACTGGACTTTTTAAGTACTTTAACAGAGATTAAACAAATTTTTAATATAGATAACGAATATAAAAATGTTACTTTTATAAATTAATATTTAGTCTATATTTATAACAAGAAAATTAATATAGGCTATATGTATATAATCAAATATAATTAATTTATCGGCAAATATTATTTATCGGATCATCCAAATACCAATCGTCACGTACATTTTAATTAATAAATAAAAAGTACTTATTGATTATTCAAATATTTTAAATTTTTGAGTTAAAACTCCTTTAGTTTCTTCCGGATCCTCTACCGTAAAGAGACGTGTCTGTAGTAATAGGTTTAAAATTTCATATACGAAGAACCCCGATTACTCCGGGTGATGTAGAACGATGCTACCTCGGATAAGCGGAAACTAAAATAAAACGAATGGACGCCACTATTTCCGATTAAAAATTACCAATATACAAGATTTATACGGTAGGGTTTAAAAGCCTTATCGAATTTAATCGTACATAAGAACAACAATTTTTACATCATTTATTGTACAGCCGATATAAATATACGTAAAATACTTTTCAAAATAAAAATATACATTATATTGTAGTAATTCATGTCATCGTTTTAAACTTTCGCTTTAAAACTATGTAACAACACTGCGAGGAAGTGTTGGGACCGGTGGACGAGAGACAGCTGGCACACACGGCGCCAGGGCTCGGGACGCTCTGGCCATTACGTATGCTACTATTGACATACATTCACCGTCGCCTTTTGAAGTGGTGTCGCTCCCGACGGGATTGGACCGCAACGACAAATCCAGATTCGGTTTGGGCAACCGACTACGGCCGTGTGGTGAACGCCTGAAGCCTGCTTATGCTTTGAAGCCACACACCGCCCCCACAGCCAGTGTGACGGTCTAGGGGTGCCATCACGTAAAGTACTGTACAACCGGTCACCTCTAGTAGTGATCGAAGTGACCGCGACGGCCCAGCGGTACGTTAGTGACATCCCGTAGCCACACGTGTTACGTCTCGTATAAGGCCTCCCGAGACCCACTTTCCAACGGGATGGTGCTCGAACATAGATGGCAAGGGGCAAGGGTGTCGTGTGACTGTCTCCGCCACATTGCCACTTCCCCGGCCTGCCCGGTCTCCCGATTTATCACCCATCGAACATGTCTGTGATCACGCCAAGTCTGACAGCCTAGGAGTTTGGCCGAACTAGAGGACCGAGATGTTGCGGGACACCGTACGGCACCCGTATTGGAGCTCCTTTTTGTATTAGCAAGTGCAAAGATGTCTTCCGTGGCTTGCCAGTGTATGGATCACTTCTTTCCGACTCCTCCTCAATTCTATCTCCATACAATAAAGTCGCGCAATATTCTAGTACATATATAATTATATACATACAGTCCGAAGGACGAGCAAAGGGCACGCGTCCTGGGTGGCGAGAGCACAGGAGTTATTAAGCTTCAAAGAGACTTGTGTGTGGGGTGGGCATGATTTTCTTCTCAACAAAATCGTGCCCCCACATACACATTAATTAAAACGTCAGAGAAAAGACAATAACGAAGTAAAATACGAACGCAAGTTTCGAAACTCCATCATCACCTCCCGGTTAGAGTCAACGGAGGATCAAGTTTAGGTTGGTTGACGCCATTTATTGGTATACGGTGTCACCCGATTTACGAATGCACTTCCATCCCGAAAACCTCTTATCAATCTAAATTGTAAGTAGGAAAGGGCTTTTTTTCATTAGTTATGGTCAAAATTTGTATTGTACCTCGTCCCTACTTACCGTACTATTTTATCAATTACATTTTTTGACTCGAGGGACATCAAAACATCGAGATAAATGCAAAAAAATTCTGGTTTTTTTCTGTATGTATGGATGTTAGTGTGTGGTGGGACAGATTTTGTTCATCCTCTTTGAAGTTTAATAACTCCCGTGCATTTTGTCGAAATTTTCTGAAATTTTGAGGGGAATTTGCTTATTACGAGAATCGATGCTATTCAATATTGGTGATTAAAGTTGGGAAGGGATGGGGAGATAATAGTGGTGGTATGTATCTCCAATAGGGTTAAACTTTATGACGATTTTACTGGTTATTAGCATTTTCAATTTTTTATATAAAACCTATTCCTACTTTTAAAATTAAGCTTTTGCCTTTTTATAATAATTAAAATTATAAAAAGTTTTTAAAATAAAATATGATAACAGATGGCATCATCAATTGTTGCCGGAAAAGTTAAGCAACTGTTCCTGGATTTTCTTGTCTAAACGAACTGAAATAATTGTAAAATTACTTCACAACCGAATTTATTTAAGTCCGAATTTTAACGGTAAAATAATTGCTGAAATTTATATAAATTCTATTGATATATCCTGATCACCGAAAAGATTTTTCACCAGCTTTGCAACATAATACTCGTTGTAGTGTAATTTTCTCTTCTGTTCGAATGCCCTAGTTGCAGCTATTTGAATAAATAAATAAATAAAATTCTTAAAACTTTATTTCGCATATTTTTAAAATTTATTATTTTTAATTTCAAACTTTTTGAGAATTTAATAAATAGTTAAAGTACCCGAATTCTGCATATTTTCGTCGTTGTTTCCGGAGCGTATTTTTGGTCGTACTGCAGATGACTCGAGACTAAAATTTAAATTATTAATACTTTTTTCTTGGGACAGAAATTGTTTTAAAAGTATTACAACAAAATCGATAAGTTTAGAATTTGCTAATAAAGTTACTAACTCATTTCTCGACATTTCAACGTTTAATTCTTCATGGTTTGCATTCTCGTATTCCTCCTGTTCTTTGTTATCTCTGATTTCCGTATCGCCAGAGTCTCTTTCGGACGATCGCCATGTTTGTTTGATGCTAAATTCGTCCCATTGTACTTTTTTTTTATTTTTGCCGCTGAATAAAAACGGAAAGAAATAGTAAATACAATATCTCCAAGGTAAAATTTCAAAATTATTACATTAAAATGTGATAATAATTACCCCGTAGATAAACGATTATCTGTTAATTTTGGTTTATTCTCGTCCATTCTTCTGTAGAAAAAGAATAATTTATGGTTTACAGCAGAATTACTTCGTATTTATATCTCAAGCATTTATACTTGTAAGCGATTGAAATAGTTACAAAAAAAAACATTTAATTAATTATAATTAATGGTTTTTTTTATAGATAAATTAAGGTACAAAGTAAATCTGAAATTTATATTTAAAAGCTCAATGAAATTATAATATATTAAGCATATTTATTAAAGTTAATTATGTAATTTATTAGGCTGCAATTTTTAAAAAATTGTAAATTTGTCCGTCTATCTGTCTGTCTGTCTTCTCCAGAACGGAATTAGATAGATGAAAGCTTAAAGGTAGGAAGCCCGATTAATTATAGAAGAACTTTCCGTAAAAGTTATATTATTTCGATTTAAAAATTTTCCCCCGAAAGGCGTTAGTTAGGTGACTGGCACGACTCTATTGTGAAAGGAAAAGTATGATGTACGGGGGCAAGACACTACTAATTTGAGAGGGAGAGAATATATTTTAAATTAAATAAATTAAAATATTATTAAAAATTTCAGCCCGATAGTCACAATGAATAATTGCTGGTTTTACTTTAAATCTTTTCCATTAAAATTAATTATGCAAGCTTCAAAGTATCAGCTTTGTTTATACAATGCCTGATTTAGACNTCGACTCCTAACCATTTGGGGTCTGCGCTTATTATTATTATTATTATTATTATTATCAACCCATCTCGATTATATATATAGATAAGTCGACGACACATTAACGAAAATAAAACCTTTTTATAAGCGTTCACCAGTGGTCGAGTGTCCGACGACCGTATCGTATATAATCGGAAAGTTATTTTTCGGAGATTATCCATTGTTTAGTATAATTGTCCTTTGTCATATTAATCTATTTTAGGATTTTCGAAAGATAGACGAAAAAATTCGGCATTCTCCTGTCTGTTCTCGGTATCCTCCTCGGCATCCTCCTGCCACAATCCTCCTGCCTGGTCTCGTTTCGTTGTCAGATACGGAGATTTCGGCTATTTTCTCCCACCCTCCGCCCCCGGCGGCTACGGAAGACGAAAGTTTCGAGTGCCGCAAGGCGTTTCCGGGAAGAGGAGGAAGCGGCGGGCGGCAGTAAAGAAGAGCGAGACGACTCCGAGCCTAGGGCTGGGTAGAGCAACCGACCTGGTTGCAGCAACTCCTACCGACGGTCGTAACCCGGAAATATTTCTTAATAAACCTTTGAAAGAGGTCATGTATTTCTTGCGTGCTAAGAAGTTTCCAGGGCTGACAAGGCCAGCTAACACCGTTCTTGATAACAATTAATTTAACTTCGTTTCGCTCGATCTCGGTTATAGGGCATTCGAAGATGTAATGGTAACTCCCATCGATTTTATTACAGTAGGGACAGTTTTTACAATTTCCAATGGAGAACCCGTGTTTATACATGCTACTGCCTCAAAGAGGGTTGACGTCGAAGACCTCCGAAAGGACCACCCCTACGGCGGTGCGAAACGGAGATTTCCTAGTATCCAATTTTTCCGCCGGTCAGTGGCCGCTGAGTGAGAGTGGGCGGGAGTCGCCGGTAGAAAATAGTAATAAGTAGACTTTGGAGGGGAGTCGAGAAACGTCCGGAGGGGGTAAACGCTTGGCGGTGACAAACCCGTCCGCTCATACCGGGGCAGAGGCCAGTTTTAGGACAGTGTCCGAAGGACGAGCAAAGGGCACGCGTCCTGGGTGGCGAGAGCACAGGAGTTATTAAGCTTCAAAGAGACTTGTGTGTGGGGTGGGCATGATTTTCTTCTCAACAAAATCGTGCCCCCACATACACATTAATTAAAACGTCAGAGAAAAGACAATAACGAAGTAAAATACGAACGCAAGTTTCGAAACTCCATCATCACCTCCCGGTTAGAGTCAACGGAGGATCAAGTTTAGGTTGGTTGACGCCATTTATTGGTATACGGTGTCACCCGATTTACGAATGCACTTCCATCCCGAAAACCTCTTATCAATCTAAATTGTAAGTAGGAAAGGGCTTTTTTTCATTAGTTATGGTCAAAATTTGTATTGTACCTCGTCCCTACTTACCGTACTATTTTATCAATTACATTTTTTGAGTCGAGGGACATCAAAACATCGAGATAAATGCAAAAAAATTCTGTTTTTTTTTCTGTATGTATGGATGTTAGTGTGTGGTGGGACAGATTTTGTTCATCCTCTTTGAAGTTTAATAACTCCCGTGCATTTTGTCGAAATTTTCTGAAATTTTGAGGGGAATTTGCTTATTACGAGAATCGATGCTATTCAATATTGGTGATTAAAGTTGGGAAGGGATGGGGAGATAATAGTGGTGGTATGTATCTCCAATAGGGTTAAACTTTATGACGATTTTACTGGTTATTAGCATTTTCAATTTTTTATATAAAACCTATTCCTACTTTTAAAATTAAGCTTTTGCCTTTTTATAATAATTAAAATTATAAAAAGTTTTTAAAATAAAATATGATAACAGATGGCATCATCAATTGTTGCCGGAAAAGTTAAGCAACTGTTCCTGGATTTTCTTGTCTAAACGAACTGAAATAATTGTAAAATTACTTCACAACCGAATTTATTTAAGTCCGAATTTTAACGGTAAAATAATTGCTGAAATTTATATAAATTCTATTGATATATCCTGATCACCGAAAAGATTTTTCACCAGCTTTGCAACATAATACTCGTTGTAGTGTAATTTTCTCTTCTGTTCGAATGCCCTAGTTGCAGCTATTTGAATAAATAAATAAATAAAATTCTTAAAACTTTATTTCGCATATTTTTAAAATTTATTATTTTTAATTTCAAACTTTTTGAGAATTTAATAAATAGTTAAAGTACCCGAATTCTGCATATTTTCGTCGTTGTTTCCGGAGCGTATTTTTGGTCGTACTGCAGATGACTCGAGACTAAAATTTAAATTATTAATACTTTTTTCTTGGGACAGAAATTGTTTTAAAAGTATTACAACAAAATCGATAAGTTTAGAATTTGCTAATAAAGTTACTAACTCATTTCTCGACATTTCAACGTTTAATTCTTCATGGTTTGCATTCTCGTATTCCTCCTGTTCTTTGTTATCTCTGATTTCCGTATCGCCAGAGTCTCTCTCGGACGATCGCCATGTTTGTTTGATGCTAAATTCGTCCCATTGTACTCTTTTTTTATTTTTGCCGCTGAATAAAAACGGAAAGAAATAGTAAATACAATATCTCCAAGGTAAAATTTCAAAATTATTACATTAAAATGTGATAATAATTACCCCGTAGATAAACGATTATCTGTTAATTTTGGTTTATTCTCGTCCATTCTTCTGTAGAAAAAGAATAATTTATGGTTTACAGCAGAATTACTTCGTATTTATATCTCAAGCATTTATACTTGTAAGCGATTGAAATAGTTACAAAAAAAAACATTTAATTAATTATAATTAATGGTTTTTTTTATAGATAAATTAAGGTACAAAGTAAATCTGAAATTTATATTTAAAAGCTCAATGAAATTATAATATATTAAGCATATTTATTAAAGTTAATTATGTAATTTATTAGGCTGCAATTTTTAAAAAATTGTAAATTTGTCCGTCTATCTGTCTGTCTGTCTTCTCCAGAACGGAATTAGATAGATGAAAGCTTAAAGGTAGGAAGCCCGATTAATTATAGAAGAACTTTCCGTAAAAGTTATATTATTTCGATTTAAAAATTTTCCCCCGAAAGGCGTTAGTTAGGTGACTGGCACGACTCTATTGTGAAAGGAAAAGTATGATGTACGGGGGCAAGACACTACTAATTTGAGAGGGAGAGAATATATTTTAAATTAAATAAATTAAAATATTATTAAAAATTTCAGCCCGATAGTCACAATGAATAATTGCTGGTTTTACTTTAAATCTTTTCCATTAAAATTAATTATGCAAGCTTCAAAGTATCAGCTTTGTTTATACAATGCCTGATTTAGACTTGTTCGTCGTTATAATATTATTCAACCAACCTGTAACAACTCTCTATAATTTTGAGTTTAATCTAACAGTTAAACGGATGTAATATATTTGCAGTACACAAAGGTATTGTTGCACAATACATGTAAAAATACAGATATTGTTTTGAGGATAGTTCATTTTATTGTTAACAGTCTCATTTATTAAAAGTTATACTTTATACTTTTTATTTTAAATAACTTTTAACTGGACTTTTTAAGTACTTTAACAGAGATTAAACAAATTTTTAATATAGATAACGAATATAAAAATGTTACTTTTATAAATTAATATTTAGTCTATATTTATAACAAGAAAATTAATATAGGCTATATGTATATAATCAAATATAATTAATTTATCGGCAAATATTATTTATCGGATCATCCAAATACCAATCGTCACGTACATTTTAATTAATAAATAATAATTACTTATTGATTATTCAAATATTTTAAATTTTTGAGTTAAAACTCCTTTAGTTTCTTCCGGATCCTCTACCGTAAAGAGACGTGTCTGTAGTAATAGGTTTAAAATTTCATATACGAAGAACCCCGATTACTCCGGGTGATGTAGAACGATGCTACCTCGGATAAGCGGAAACTAAAATAAAACGAATGGACGCCACTATTTCCGATTAAAAATTACCAATATACAAGATTTATACGGTAGGGTTTAAAAGCCTTATCGAATTTAATCGTACATAAGAACAACAATTTTTACATCATTTATTGTACAGCCGATATAAATATACGTAAAATACTTTTCAAAATAAAAATATACATTATATTGTAGTAATTCATGTCATCGTTTTAAACTTTCGCTTTAAAACTATGTAACAACACTGCGAGGAAGTGTTGGGACCGGTGGACGAGAGACAGCTGGCACACACGGCGCCAGGGCTCGGGACGCTCTGGCCATTACGTATGCTACTATTGACATACATTCACCGTCGCCTTCGTTTTGAAGTGGTGTCGCTCCCGACGGGATTGGACCGCAACGACAAATTCAGATTCGGTTTGGGCAACCGACTACGGCCGTGTGGTGAACGCCTGAAGCCTGCTTATGCTTTGAAGCCACACACCGCCCCCACAGCCAGTGTGACGGTCTAGGGGTGCCATCACGTAAAGTACTGTACAACCGGTCACCTCTAGTAGTGATCGAAGTGACCGCGACGGCCCAGCGGTACGTTAGTGACATCCCGTAGCCACACGTGTTACGTCTCGTATAAGGCCTCCCGAGACCCACTTTCCAACGGGATGGTGCTCGAACATAGATGGCAAGGGGCAAGGGTGTCGTGTGACTGTCTCCGCCACATTGCCACTTCCCCGGCCTGCCCGGTCTCCCGATTTATCACCCATCGAACATGTCTGTGATCACGCCAAGTCTGACAGCCTAGGAGTTTGGCCGAACTAGAGGACCGAGATGTTGCGGGACACCGTACGGCACCCGTATTGGAGCTCCTTTTTGTATTAGCAAGTGCAAAGATGTCTTCCGTGGCTTGCCAGTGTATGGATCACTTCTTTCCGACTCCTCCTCAATTCTATCTCCATACAATAAAGTCGCGCAATATTCTAGTACATATATAATTATATACATACATTTTATATTTTATTTAACAGAAAAATAAATACCAATATTTATAAATAAATTATTTTATTTTACTTTTCAGAAAAAGTTAGTTCTAATCTTATATTATCATACATAAATACTATACTGTACTGTACTATATTTTAAATATTGTTTTGAAATTTTGTTAAAAGATGGCGCTAAAATACTTTTCGAACTTGTTTTCGTTATTTTATAAAAATTTGTGTACTGTATATTTAAAAATGAAAAAAATATATTTATAAAGAGACTATCCTAAAATAAAAAGAATTTTTTTTATTTCTATATAAAGAATTTATTTAAAATTTTATCATTTTAAAATACAGTCGACCCCCCTATAACACTGTTGATTATTCCGTTTTATATGAATTCCATGTTGTACGAGTCACTTAGATTTTACAAATAAGTGTGCCGGGCTGTGAACGGCTCACTTATTTGTAAAATCTAAGTGACTCGTACAACATGGANACCGGGCTGTGAACGGCTCACTTATTTGTAAAATCTAAGTGACTCGTACAACATGGAATTCATATAAAACGGAATAATCAACAGTGTTATAGAGGGTCGGCTGTACACATTCGAAGGGGAAAAGCTCTTTCGACACGAAATACAGTGATGTGTTGCAAATATAAAATTGTTTTCGTGGGAGTTTTAATTATGTTTTTCTCAATCGATAGATTCCCTAGACTTAAAACAAATAGTTATTTTTCTGTTAACTATCATAAAAATTGATTATTAATACCCCATTTTTAAATTTTGATTTCAAATACAATCGATATATCGAAGATAAATATTAAAATATTGTTTTAATTAATGTGTAAAAAATACTTAATTATTTTATACATTTTCATCACAAAATCTTATTCGATAACTAAAAGTTTTTATAATAAACTTTCTCGATTTTTGTCTAACTTCGTTCCGGAGATTAACGGAGGACCGACAGACGGATGGACGGGCGACAATGGCAATTTGAAAATTGCAGCCTAGAAAAGAAAAAAGTTCTTAATTTTCTTAAGAATAATTTATAATTTTAAAATGTAAATTCTTAAGATAACATTCTTTATAATTTTTACGTTAAAATTAACTTTTATAAATGATTTGAATAACTCGGTAATTTGAATACTTTCTGGAAAAATAAACGTAAAAATGTGGTAATGGAAGCTCATTTGGGTGGAGAATGGAGAATATTATTTAATAATCATCCATAATGAAAGGCCCATTCGACTAGATACTTATCAAATTAAATTAATAGTTGTTTATATGCTTTTGTTAATTAATTGGACTGCAATTTGAAAAAAAAATGTAGACTTATAAACTTCCCCTGCTGTCGGTTTTTTTGTCTTTCTTTAATCTCGAGAACGGAGTTAGATAAATGAAAATCGAGACCAGATATGAGCTTAGATTAACTACATACGAACTTCCCATTCAAATTGGAAGCCACGTAAAAATTTTCTTCTGTAAGGAGTTAAATAGGTGACTTTGTTGCCAACAGGAAAAGTATTATGTATGGGGGAGAGGCGTTACTAATTCGAGGTGGAGAGCATAAATTTTAAATTAAATAAATGAAAAATATGATTAAAAATTGCAGACCGACATTGCTTTTAAATTCGATTTAGTTTAATAAAAATATCTCACTTAAGTATTATTTGAAACATAGTTTTGTAAGTGAAAAAAGTTGAGGCGTTAATTTGAAAAAGAAAGGTTAAGAAAGTTGGTTAAAGAATGATAAGACAGATTGGTGACACTTTCGAAGCGTGTTCACGAGCCGTTAGTTGCCATGACAACATAGTTAGTGACAAGTCACTTATGACAGATTATTGTTAATAATAGTTTTATCTTTTGAACAGAATTTGTTGCGATCTCTCGAGATCCTTCGAACTTTTCTTCTGTAATAAACTACTGTAGAAAGTATTGTTAATGTTAATTAAATAAACATAATATTATATGAATATTTAAAAGTTACAAAAATTATAATAGTAACTTCGTTCATCCAATGAAGATTCTATTATTTAAAAAAAACAAAAAAAAAATTATTTTTGTGTTTCCTTCCTCTTTCAAAATAGAAAAAGTCAGTTTTATATTTTAAAAATAAACATCGAAATTCAATTTTAAATTATAATGAATTAGAATAAAAATTATAAACTGGTGTGAGGTATCATTTTAAAAAATTCCCTCGCCCTAAGAGGCACTAAGAGAGCCTCTTTTCGTCGAGTCCATTATTAATTCTGCCAGGCCCACATTGGGGCAGCCGGGGCCAGGAAGACGAGTAAGATGTCAAAGGTTATTCAACAGGTGATACCTCAGGTACTATGTCCAGAATCGATTTAGTCTCATCACCATAGTAACTAAATCTTCCTTCTCTTTGTTATCTATAATAATAAGTTAAATTTTCATAATGTAACTAAATAAAGAAACAATTCTTTGAGTTAATATTAAATTTTAATTCCAATACAAAACAGAAAATTAGTAATAATTATTTATTATTTATTTTAATTTAAATATTATATTANAGTATGATTAATTGATATAAAGTGTATGTATTTTGTCTCATCCTGTGATCGCAGTTTAATAAAACACTTAATTTTATTTAAAACTATATTTATTAAAACAAATGCACCTATATATGTATATAATTAATTAATTATTTATGATGTGGAAAATCTTCATTCTATACTAATTTTTAAAAAATTGTAAATTTGTCCGTCTATCTGTCTGTCTGTCTTCTCCAGAACGGAATTAGATAGATGAAAGCTTAAAGGTAGGAAGCCCGATTAATTATAGAAGAACTTTCCGTAAAAGTTATATTATTTCGATTTAAAAATTTTCCCCCGAAAGGCGTTAGTTAGGTGACTGGCACGACTCTATTGTGAAAGGAAAAGTATGATGTACGGGGGCAAGACACTACTAATTTGAGAGGGAGAGAATATATTTTAAATTAAATAAATTAAAAATATGATTAAAAATTGCAGCCCGATAGTCACAATGAATAATTGCTGGTTTTACTTTAAATCTTTTCCATTAAAATTAATTATGCAAGCTTCAAAGTATCAGCTTTGTTTATACAATGCCTGATTTAGACTTGTTCGTCGTTATAATATTATTCAACCAACCTGTAACAACTCTCTATAATTTTGAGTTTAATCTAACAGTTAAACGGATGTAATATATTTGCAGTACACAAAGGTATTGTTGCACAATACATGTAAAAATACAGATATTGTTTTGAGGATAGTTCATTTTATTGTTAACAGTCTCATTTATTAAAAGTTATACTTTATACTTTTTATTTTAAATAACTTTTAACTGGACTTTTTAAGTACTTTAACAGAGATTAAACAAATTTTTAATATAGATAACGAATATAAAAATGTTACTTTTATAAATTAATATTTAGTCTATATTTATAACAAGAAAATTAATATAGGCTATATGTATATAATCAAATATAATTAATTTATCGGCAAATATTATTTATCGGATCATCCAAATACCAATCGTCACGTACATTTTAATTAATAAATAATAATTACTTATTGATTATTCAAATATTTTAAATTTTTGAGTTAAAACTCCTTTAGTTTCTTCCGGATCCTCTACCGTAAAGAGACGTGTCTGTAGTAATAGGTTTAAAATTTCATATACGAAGAACCCCGATTACTCCGGGTGATGTAGAACGATGCTACCTCGGATAAGCGGAAACTAAAATAAAACGAATGGACGCCACTATTTCCGATTAAAAATTACCAATATACAAGATTTATACGGTAGGGTTTAAAAGCCTTATCGAATTTAATCGTACATAAGAACAACAATTTTTACATCATTTATTGTACAGCCGATATAAATATACGTAAAATACTTTTCAAAATAAAAATATACATTATATTGTAGTAATTCATGTCATCGTTTTAAACTTTCGCTTTAAAACTATGTAACAACACTGCGAGGAAGTGTTGGGACCGGTGGACGAGAGACAGCTGGCACACACGGCGCCAGGGCTCGGGACGCTCTGGCCATTACGTATGCTACTATTGACATACATTCACCGTCGCCTTCGTTTTGAAGTGGTGTCGCTCCCGACGGGATTGGACCGCAACGACAAATTCAGATTCGGTTTGGGCAACCGACTACGGCCGTGTGGTGAACGCCTGAAGCCTGCTTATGCTTTGAAGCCACACACCGCCCCCACAGCCAGTGTGACGGTCTAGGGGTGCCATCACGTAAAGTACTGTACAACCGGTCACCTCTAGTAGTGATCGAAGTGACCGCGACGGCCCAGCGGTACGTTAGTGACATCCCGTAGCCACACGTGTTACGTCTCGTATAAGGCCTCCCGAGACCCACTTTCCAACGGGATGGTGCTCGAACATAGATGGCAAGGGGCAAGGGTGTCGTGTGACTGTCTCCNTTTTATTTCATTAGAAATTTAACATCTTAACTGGAAATTCATATGAATTGAAATACAATTATCTCTCAACTTTCTTGTTTCTCTAAAGGCTAATATCTAAACACCTAATTAATTTATAAACTGTTTTCATTAGTTTGCTTGTATTCCAGGGAAACTTCTTAATAGCATCATTATTATTAATAAATAGAGGTACTTTTACGCTGTTATAAATAATTTGTTAATATATTTAGGAGTTTTTGACTTTACATTTGTTAATTCATTTTTTTTGCTTCCTCTTTTTTTATATGAATTTAAAACAACTTTTTATATTCAAATAAGAAAAGTTACTCTATACTCTATTCTACTCTACATTCTATATTAATTGCTCTATTTTACTCTATATTAAATGCTCCATACTCTATGTTATAATCTAAGCTCTATGTTTTTTTTTCGTATTAATTTTAAAATTTCACATCATCTAATAATAATAATAATAATAATAATATTTTTTCAACTGTTTTTAAAATAAAACTTTACCGAGTTTAACTTTGAATATCTGGAAATTTATTGTTTATAACAATATAATTTAGCATTATAATCGAAATTATTATCAATAATTTATCGGCGAGTTATTATTTTTATTATTATTTTACATTAAATTTGAAAAATTCTATATAAATTCTTTTATCGTTGTAAATTTTGCTGATACTTTCTCCATCAGTTTCAATCAACGCTTGAGTAAAAATAAAAGTGCAGATATCAGATATCAAACAATCCATGAACGAACATCCTGTTATCTTCAATGAGATTTAAAGAGATATAAGCTGCAGTTTCTTTTAAAATGGCAGTTCGAGTTAAATATATAAAAGAAAAATAACAATAGATAGTTTCCTAGATAAAAATCAACAGTTTCTATATTTGAGATGTTGATATAAAATCAATAATTTGATATGGAGACGGAGCAGAAAAAAAAGAAGTAATGTAGAACATATCAAGTTATTTCAACTATAAAGCTTCTGATTAGATTATATAAAGAATAATTATAATTTTTCTTCTCTTTAATAAGTTAATAATTATCATAGAAACTTATACAATGAATTTTTAAAAATATAATTTTCTATAATATTTGCATAGAAATACATTCTTTAAATGGCCACTCCCTAAAAATATTGTATTTATTTTTTATGCGAATTTTATTATTTTAAATCTATCAAAATTTGGCCATTATAATCTTCTTTTATTGTTATTTTAACGAAAGAAATTTATCCATAACTTGAAGACGTGATACGAGTTTCGGAATCGAGATGGCAGCATGTATCAAGTATCGATGTAAATTTATTTATATGATTTTTTTTCGAAAATAATTAAATTATTTATCATATAAAACATATAAATTCGGGTAAATTTTATATATGTATATGTAAAAATTAAAATAAACAGTGAATATATATGTGTAAATAATTTTATTATTAAAGTTAAGCTCCGGATTTAGTTTTTGTATGTTCATTACGTTCAATGAGTAATTATTGAAAACGAGTAGTTTGTATTTCTCGTAAGTTAACGGCCGTTTGAAAAAACGGCCGTTAACTTACATAAACGGTCATTTGACACATTTCGTGAAGGAGTTTAGTTAAAACGTTATTTAAAAAAGAATCGATTTTTGAGTGAAATATTCTCTGGAAACACGAAAGAGTACCTTTCTACTATATACTTTAGATGAAATTTATAACTGCGACGGAACACCCTCTACCAGTCAATAGAGAAACTATAGAGGCTAAGTAGGAAAGGTGGGGGCAGCCACTTGCCGAAGTGTGGGTGGTGGTATGAACCAATAAGATTCTCGAGCGGGAGATAGTGCAGAGAATTACATCGAACGCACGCCACAGATACCAAGAGGAAGAGTTGACGTATGCATTTGCCAATTCATTCACTACTTTACTACATCTGTAGACAGTAAAGTTACGGAAGGAACGTTAATATATAGTAAAAAAACAAGGTAAGTTCCGCTATGTCTAAATCAAATCATCCATTTTTTTTCAGTTGGCGGTAATTTGATAATGGAAAACTATTAATAATTATGTAATAACGTATAATTTTTCCTTCGTATACGAAAAAAGTTTTGCGTACCTGTTGAACCAACGTCGTTAAGAGTTTTAAGCGTAAAAAAAAATCTGATTATTTCATAAAATATAAAATATTTAATAACGTAAAAATATGAAAACTTGTTTTTTAAATGTATAAAAATGTTATAAACATCAGTCTGGAATTTTATCAAGAAGCACTGCCGAGCTGTTATATAATCTTGTTGCTTAGGAAATTTACCAAGATCTAAATATGTTGTAAAGAAAATATAATTTTTAAATTTGTTAAATAACAATAATTTTAGTTTAATATTTTATAAGAAAAACTAATATAATTTTATATTGAATGTGCGGAGAAGAGATCACGTCACTATGAGCATAGTTAAGTACTCATTAAGTATTATATCAGAGAAACTTTTTATGTGCATTTATCAATTAATCAATGCATAACAGAGTGAGAGAGAGTTCTCTTAAAAATAGATTTTCTAGAACTTAAAAAATTTCATAAAAATATTGATCTTTATTCTTTGAAATACGTTCATTTCGGAGAATTGTATACCAGTAAGTAGAAAATCTTATTACTTTTGTTTTCGACATTTTAAAACTTCAATTATAAAAATTTATTCTCACTTACCTAAATCGGAATTCATTTTATATTTATTTTTCTAGAAAAATTCATTGTATTTTATATGCCAGGCATAGAATATAAAATTATTTAAAGTGAATAAATTCCCCAATTTCTACCTACAAAACTCGAAGCAAGAAATTTACTCCATTCTTTTATGATTCGCCATTAATTTTATGTTTCCGAGAATATTCTGCTTTGTCAAACAATTAATTCGAGCAAGTGGTCTAGTACTATAACGGGATTATTGAATACTACTTGCAAACTTCATTGATGATTCTCATTAATCCTTTGATGTAGATTGAAACTCTTTTCGTGTTCGGGGATTGTTCTATTACTTCGGGCGTTGATATTCCAACTGTAATTGCTTTCTTGTGTAATCTAGTTATGATTTATTTTCATTTTTTTTCTTATTTAATATCGGACAACAAACTTTTCTTCATAATTCTTACAAGATAAACATCGGCCGAAATACAAAAATCTCATAATATGCTGCCGGGTATAACGTGGTAAGAAAAGTTACTTAAGAAGCTTGTTTTCGTAATAAAAGTCTACTTATAAATTTGATTTATAACTCTTTAACAAGTAAGGATATTAATTTTACACTAATGTTGTCACCGGTGTCCGATTTACTTTCGAAGGGACCCCGAGCGATTTAAATTTTTCGTGGCCCTTGCAACAAAAATAACTAAATAACAAAACAAAAAGAAGTAAGAAGAAAGGCAGGAATCGAAGAAGAATTAAACTCATTACGACTTAATATTTTCTAAAAAGATTATAAAGGGCCCCCAATTGAGATGGGGGCTTCTCGGCGCGTGGCCCCAAGTAGTTGTTTGTTTAGCTTCCTGGTAAATCTGCTACAGATTGTCAACATATTTTTTTTAAAGAAAAACGAATCAACAGGAAAATATTATTTTGCTATTTGACACGAGAAGTTTTTTTTTTCTTCTTCTTCTTTTAATTCGAATCGATTGGTAAATTTTTCACGATTAATAATTTATATAAATAGAATTTTTACATGATTAATTCTAAATAAAACTACGAATTAAACAATTGTACAGCTGATGAATTTTATGCTAAGAGAATTAAATAACGATCGATCATTTCCGTGACGTTAATTCACATATAAATTTGATATATGAAAACGGTTTATATTTTATTAAAAATGGGTTTTCTAGTTTGACAATTTCTCTACGTAAAACATTCAATCTTTTTCCCATCCACTAATGAAAAATTTATCATAAAAAATATTAAAATTTTTTTTAAACTATTATTTTAATATTATAAAAAAAACCCGCACCATTAAAGTTTTTTTTCAAATTAAATATAAACAAATCTGTAGTAAAAATAATTATTCTGTCCTATTTTCTTTTAAAATTATTTTATTTATACAATTTTTAAAATACTAAATCAAATATTCCAAATTTTTTTTAATGTTTTAACCTTAATTTTCTGAATTAAACTATTAATAAAATTAAGAAGTGTTTTAAAAAAAATTTACTTATGTAATAAAACAAAATATAAATTAAAATAATAAAAGTTTCTTCTTGTATTTTATTAAGTGAACTTCTAGCAATTTATTGGAAAATAATATTTTAAAATATTTTCCATAATAAATATATAATAATCTTGCTGATAAAGATAATAATTTATATATAATTTGTAACAATACGACACTTTATACATATATTTAAATAAAAATAATTTTTTTTTCTTAAAATCTGATGGAGGGAAAACGCTTTTATATTGTAGTTTCTCGTATATTTTCCCCCTGACTGAAGGTAAGCAAGGAAGAAAAGGTAATAAATTTTTTATCAAATCACAATGACAACTGAAGAATTGGTTATATTATACTTCGTTTTCTATTCTTTAGTTGTCATAGCAACAATCTCGACGATGTTTCCATTCGACACAAGTTTCGATTATACTTCAATTCCCGTAACAGAAAATATATACATACATACGCATATCTATATATATATTTTTTCTTTTACACAAGAAATAAAATTAATTTTAATAAATAAAATAATTAATTATAATTAAAATTTAAAATATTATTTATTTTTCTACATTGGTTAAATATTTCAAATATTTTTCTAACGATTTATCTTTAGTTTATATTACATATAAACACGAATAAGTCGAAAATATTTCGTGTATATCAACTTTATTTATTATATATATATATATATTTGTGTATATAAGATGATAATTTAAATGATAGACATCTCGTAGTATTTATAAGTAAACATATTGGACTAAATGTCATAGAAGTTTTTATCGTATATTAATGTTATCCGAGAGTAATTCTGTCGACACTCACGCAATTTGGCTATCATTGAAAATATATATTCTACGAGAGAACAAATTGAATTCTGGTCCGATAACACACCAGTTCTTCTTATCTGCTCCCCTGCAAATGGCGGTTCATTATCTATAGAAAATTTTATTCATTAATTAAGATTAAACTGTATGATTTTTTTTCCGATAATAAATGAATTATAGGAGGTGGCATTTATGGATATTAATCATCTAAGCAATAACAGTTGTTTAAATCGAGTTCATATCCGGAAAAAAGGGAAGAAAAATATAGAGATTCCCATCAGAATTGCATGAGTAGGATTTTGTCCTTTGGAGAAACAGCTTGAAACATCTTAAGATCTTATCTTCTGACCATTCACGTCATCGATTGTATCTTACAAAATGTCAATTATAAGCATTTTTTTCTTTTTGTTTTTTTCATTTTATAAACCTTCCGTTGGAAAATTTATCATTACTTTCAAAAATATAATAAAATTATGAAGTCAAAACAACGTTTCTCTTCCAGTTTCAACTAAAACTTATTTAACCTAATTTTAATTTTGATAAATATAATATATAATTACCATTTTAAATAGACCTATTTATGAATAAATGACTCATCTCATTGATTTTCTTTAAAGTAAATAAATATTTATGAAGAATAAATACAAGATATATATATATATATACTTTTTTTTAAGTGAGGAATTTTATCTGTTGAATAAATATTTGTCTTGATAATAATCTAGAATTATAAACAAATTTGTTTTAAAAATATGAATTACGATAAGTCTACTTATTATTTAAAGAGAAAATAATGTGACTTTTTAAGTTTTTAATACTTTTTTAATGGGAGAAACAGTAAATAAAACGAAATAAGTAGAGTAGAATAGTTTCCTCGGTGGAGTACGTATTAAAGTATCAATATGGAAACATTGGTGTGTTAAATGCAGTGTAGGAAATGGGAAGGATATTGTTAAAACGTGAGAGTGAACATCTTATCTAGAAGAGAAAGAAGGAGAGATGAAGAGGCTTGATATAAATCCCATAGCCGGATGATGCTGAAGACCGGCAGGCAGATACTTGTTATGTCCCTTTGTTTCCATAGAAACATTATCCCCTTCGAAATTTATGATATAGATACAAAAACTTTTGCTCAAATAGACTTGACACTTCTAATTTATCTTGTAACAAATATTTTACAAAAATTATTTATAATAAATTTTAATGAGACGAGACCGGAAGCTGTTAATTATTTGTTAAATGTCATCGTTTCCTATAGCATAAATTTGAATTATTCTTAAGCTTATTCAAATTTGTTCCGACAGATCGAATGTTGATCCCATTTTACAAATGAAATTTGAATAAAAATCTTTGAATTTGTCGCCTAAATCGTTGTTGATATTGAATTTAAGTGTGGCTTTGAGTAAATAAATTCTATAAACATCTAAATCGTTTCGAAAATTTACATGTAAATAACAATTTAATCCATCAATAATTTTGTTTTAGAAATAATTGGCAGGTATAAATTAACTAATACTTAACTAAATTATATAAAATTGAATCATCTTTTCATCCCGGACCGGAAAGTTCGTGTATAATAGGGGCCTTTCCCTTTATATAAGGCCCTAAGCTACCACTTGTTTAGTTCACGCGAAAATCCGGCTCTAATATAGGGTCTACACACAAAAATAATATAGAATGTGTGCCCATAAAGATGCGATTATTAAATTATAATTACTTATCTATTATACTTAATCTAAATGATGTAAAAGTTTAATTTATTAATAACTAAATCATCTAAATTGGAGTTTTTAGAAGTTCCTCTCTTAGAATAAAAGCAAGTCGTTAGAGATGATAACTCACTGATTGGAAAACTTGATCTGATTCATTAGAAAAATTAAGAAATTGAGAAAATAATTGGCTAAATCGTGTTATTGCCGTAAATATTAATTGCAATTAATTATAAGAATCACTATTTATAATAACTTAACTAGAGACAGGAATAAAAATTCCAGATTGTCATTTATGGGTTCAAAATAAACGTGTATAAAGTTATTTATTACACGAATAAATATAAAGCAAGACCTATTAAAAGTAATAATTACTTTAATTAACTTTTTTAAAAAACTTTTATGTAATTAAATTATTTAAAACTTAATTAAATTTACATATAATTTTGTCTGAGATCGTCATAATCGTTAACGTAGACGACTACAACAAAATTTTATTAGTGAAGCTACGTTATCGATGGCAACTCAGTTAATTCGTACAAAACTACAATAAATCACAATTAATATTTATGAATATCTTTCATAAGTGACAATTAATTCTGAATTATCCTTACTAAATTAATTTCAACTCATTAGCATCAATAAGGAATAAGTTAAGTATTCATTGTCCTTAAATTATTAAAAATCTGTTTAGAACTTAATTAATGGGCATATTTCATTGTCTAGAATTTTTAATTGTAATTAATATCGACACTTATTTCATTACGGAAAGTGAAAAACTGGTTGTTTATGTGTTAAGAGAAGAGAAAATGAAATTTATGACATTTATAGAAACCATTTTCCAATGTGAACACGAGTAGAATAAGCTTTGACACACGAATGAAGCTCTCTCGACACATTTTCGATTTTGTTTATCGATAGAAGCACGAGCAAAGATCCATTCCATCTATAACATAACCTTCGAGCAAATATTTGGTCACCTTGAACGATTAAGCGATACGAGGATCAATCTTTGGTCCTGTAGATTTACAAGTCAACAAACAACGTTGCTCTCAATGTAAACAATCTTTACACTTTCAGTTATTACATCCCTACGACTGTGTAGATTCACACCTTTTCATTAAGTAAATTAAATTATTTCGATCTTGCTCTTCAACCTCCCTTTAAAAAAATCTTTCCAGTCAATGTTTGTATGGATTTTTTTTCTCCATTTAATTAAAATATTCGAATTTTTTCCTTTTTTTTTAAATTTCTTTTCACTAATTTTGTAGCGTAAGTGACTTTTCTGTGATGAACTTTGTGAAATATTTTCTATTTCTTCTAAGCATACTTTACCTTGTAAATTGATGTCTCTTGAAAGCTGCACCATTGGTCTTAATGAGCGCGAATTTCATTTTTGCTCCCATTTTATAGACTATAAATTAAACTGATATTGTAAAATAATACTCCTTGGTAAAATCTTTAATAAATTCTTTAAAGAAATAAAATATTTGCTTTATATTAAAAAAAAAATTTAATAATGGACGAAACTAAATTTTATATGGTTTCTGTTAACAAAATTTACACAAAAAATGGCTAAAATATAGCTTTAAATGACACTTTTCTACGTTTATTTTGTATGTTTAAAGAAAGTAAGAAGTCCTATAAGAAGAATAGCATCATTTATCAAGTTTATAACTTAAAACTTAAATATAGATTTTGTTATTAAGTTTATTAAAAAAGAAAGAAAGAAAATAGAAGAAGAAACGTTATTGCTATTTTTAAACAAATTCAGATAGGATTTATTTATTTATTTATTTATTTTTATTTTTAGAATTGTGAATAAAACATTTTGACTGGTAACGCTTGACTTCCTCATAAATATAAATACTCAGTATATAGCCCACATCCAGTTGAATTTAAGTGGAAAGATAGAAAAATCTTTGAACTACGTCACTTTAAATATCTACAAAATCACTAAATGGAAGCATTTTTTTAGTTTATTTGCAAAGTAACTGTCATATCGGTTTACTATTAAACTACTTACCGGCCGTTTAAACGGATAAATGCATTTTTTACTTATTTTTCTACGTAAAATATATATAAATATTTAAATAAAAATTGCATATAAATCTTTTAAAATTATTTTGAAAGTGTTTATATTTATTAATTTACAAATATAAGTAATTTTCACTCGGGAAATTACGTTAATATTAAAGCTTTTCCCTTGATGAAGTGTTGTGACGAATACTAAGTAGAGCGAATGTTTAATAATTATTGTATAGGGTAAAGGCGTGTTTGTTGTGTTATATTTTACCTGATTAATTATTTAAATGTCTTTATGCGATTATATTTTAATTTGTTTTATTTATTTATCCTCCCCTTTTTTTTGTAGTGAAAGAAGAATATAAAAAGGTAAAGGATTTCTGCCGTCAGAATGGTCATTCGGGGTTTCTTCTTGACAGCAATGTTGGCGACATTTGTGACAACTTTGTCTGCTGTCGATCCCCTATCCACACTGGAATGCCGCAGAACAGAATATTTTTATAAGGCAACGAGAACGGACGAAAGGGGACGACAATGTTGGGATAATCTTAGAGTCATGTCCTGTTGGGGCAGGTGTGATTCTATTGAGGTAAATTGAAAAATAACACTACATTTTATACAGGATAATTAAATAATAAGCTTCTGATCAATTCGTTTCGTCGATGTAACAACAGTAAGAAGGCGAAAATTAGTAATTTACATCGAAATATTGTCAAGTAGCCCCCGTTATAACGCGGTGAGATCGATATATCCGAATCTGCGATATAATGAGGGACTAATGCATAAAGTTCCATTACTTTTCTAAGAATTAACGAGTAGGAAAAATGGAAATGTTAAGAAGGGTTAAAACGTGGTTGGCATTTAACAAATGCTTTTCAAAGAAAGTTTAAATAGAATCATTATTAAAATTAATGTATGCAGATGTTATAAGCAACACTAGTTTAACATAATGTATAATGAATGAAGTCGTATATGAGAATATAAAGCACGACCGAGAAAACTTTGTAACTATAACGCAAGATAAGTCAATTTTATACAAGTAATGGAACCCAAATTCTTAAAGTTTTATATAGAATTATATAGAGTTATCATATTTACACGACCGATTACCTTAGGGAATGTTTTAATTACGTTTATTTTATATCTTTGCAGATTGCCGATTGGAGGTTTCCTTACAAGAAATCCTATCATCCCGTCTGTATGCATAAAGAGAAGATCTTACGAAGGATCAAATTAAAACATTGTGATCCAGATGCTGGACCAGAATTGAGAAAATATCAATATTACGAAGCTATAACCTGCGCTTGTCAATTTTGCGAAAGCTCAACGGCGAGTTGTGGTAATGTAATACCTTACAGAAATGGGAGACGTTAATATTTAAAACTTAAAAAAAACAATAACAAAAATTAAAAAAAAGAGAGAGAGAGAGAAAAAAATAAAAAAAATAAATTCCTCCGTTTCTCCCCCTCCCCACACACACACAAAAATAAAATTTCGTTTTTTATTTTTTCCGTTTTTCGTCTTAAAAAAACGCACTTTTTTGCCATTCCTCCCACCAATAAACAGTCTTGGATTTTTATAATCCGTGACGAAAGCAAATCCGGTCCAATCAGAATTAAAAACAGATAATTTAGGTAGGTCTTCTTTAATTGGTCGAATTTGAATTTTAAATTTAAAAAAAAAGTAATATATATATATATATGAATGTAAAGTGGATTTATGATGTTAACTCTTAACGATATTTTCTTCTTTTCGTTTTTTAACGAGTTCGGAACATTATATTGAATAAAATATGAAAATGTATCGATAAATTATGCACGACATTAAGCTAAAAAAAGACTGTTTTTTAATAATAAACTGTAAGAAAAAACATTTTTTTTTCTCGTCTAACAAATCTTAATTTATATGTTCAAATCTCATGGGGAATATAATCTTTATTCGGAGAAGATTAGGAAAAATTAAATTATGTCTTTTTCAAAACAATAAGTTAAATATATATATATATTAATTAATAAATAATAATGAAAGGAAAATCATTTTTAAAGTATAGTCATAAATAAATATCGATAATATCATTTAAAATGTATGACCTTTCATTAAATTTAAACATTAATTGAAACAGTTTGGTGACTTATTGTAAAGCAGTTTATCTAAGATAATGAAGTGTTTAGAGAAGAGTTTGTTCTTCAAATTTAATTATACAATGCCGTATATGATAATTAATTATATTCGCTTCCAACTACAATATTTCCCTTGTTAATTTAAAACCGCTGAAAAATTTGGGTAACAATTACGTAAAATCGTCGCTCCCCCATGTAAGAATTTGTATAAAAATTGCATTAAAAATAATAAAGTTCAAATTAAATATGCTAAAATAGTGAGTGCATACAAATAACTTACGAGGAAGGTATTTTATTAGATAAAAATGTTCAATTTAACCCCATAAAACTCGTCGGAAAAATAAAGTAATGCATATTTATCGCTTGTGTAACTAGAGATGTCTTCGGAGGTTGAGAGAAATGTTGTAATTTCGATCAAAAAAGTACGTTATCATCTTGTAGAATGAGGTTTAATTAAGGAAGAAGATACGTTAATGGAGAAGATAAAACCTGTCTCTAGCGTACGAACATTTGATGAACTCTTAGAAAACTCCCACACCATTCCTTTTCTTCAAATTAATTTCCACCAGTGATATTTCTAAATATGAAAAAAAAAATTACTTTACTATTTTAATTTTCTTATCTTATACATTCTCTTGATATCTCTTTAAATTTGTCAATTAATGCTAAAGACAACTTTCATTTTATCTATGAAATGTAGGATTGGTCTTTTGTTGTGTCGAATGTATTTAAAAAAAAAATCTTCCCCTGGTTAAAAGTATTATAAAATCCCAAAAAGTATTTAACGAGAATAAAAATCTTTGCGGAAATTTTCTTCGTCTTCTTGTTTTCTATTCCTCATTAACATTTACATCACCATCATCATCAACATCCTTCGCCTATTCATCTTGATCAGAAGTAACATTTATAAAATATAAAAAGAAGAAAAGTTAGAAGATTTTTACAAAATTCCATAAATATTTAATAATAAACTTTAAAGATTTAGTAAATATTTAATTTATTTTTAAATATATTTTATATAATTTAATTTATTCTTGCTTGATAACTTTTGGGCATTTTAAGTTGACCGACCCACGTGCGCTTTTAAACTGATAAAATTCCTTTATGTCATCATAGCGAGTTTAAATTGAATAAACAAATACGCAATCGAGAATTTTTGAAATATTATAAAGATATAATCGATTAATTATCATTAGCAATTGGTAATTTTATATCCGTTTTGCAAGAACGTCAATCAAAGTGATTTGAAAGTAAAATAAAATAAAACTGGCCACGTTGTTGCTAGACTTTCTTAGAATTCTTTATTTTTTTTCATATCTAACAATTCTTACCATTACACTGGACAACAAAAAAAAATGTTTTCGAATGTTTCCTTTATTTCATGAGTGAAATCTTACTAATTTTGGGGTGAGAAAATTGAATATGACAAAGAAAAATTTTTATTAGCTCTAGTTTCTGTGGTATATAATAGGTGATTTTAACAGCATAAGAGAAAACGATACATTTTAATTACATATGCTAACAACATTGAAAGTGCTTTTGAATTTTTTTTTTAAATTACAGTAACATTCTAAGACTTCTAAATTAATAGAAGAATACCTGGCAGGTGATTCGGTGTGAAGAGAATCATGTGGTGACTTCATGAGATCGTTTTCTTTTGGCTTGCCTCTTGTAAGTGAGTTCTGGTGCATCCCTACACACAGACCAGCAGTAATCCGCAAGCATTGCTTCATTCCAATGGCCCTGATATCTTTGTTCCAATACAGAAATATCCCGATGGAACCTATCTCCATGTTCATCACTGACAGCTCCACAACTAAGAGGGAAAAAGTCTAGATGGAAATGGAAAAAATGGATTTTGAGGGACATGTTGCATTCGTGTTGATGATATTTTTCCAGAAGTATTGTCACCGAGTTTAGTTATTGTCTCTTTTGTTGCTTAAGAATCCACGAATAACTCCCTTTAAGGCTTCCCAAACTTCCTTTTCTTTTCCCTCCAAAACATGGTCAAACGCGGGATACTTTACAAGTTTTCGAATTTGTGGCCTAACAAAAATACCTTCCTTAACCTTTCCATCACTCAATCTAGGAAATTTGTCTCTTAAGTACTTAAATGCCTGTCCTTTCTGGTTCATAACTTTGACAAAAGTTTTCATTAAACCCAGCTTGATATGAAGGGGTGGAAGAACATCATCTTTTGGATCTACGAGAGGCTCGGCAACGATATTTTTCTCGGTAGAGTCAAGATTTCTTGCAGGCCAGTCCGCTTGAATGTAATGTGATTTCCTATCCCTACTGTCCCACATACATAAAAGCAACAGTATTTAGTGTACCCCAGTTGCATTCCTAAGAGTACAGCGATGACTTTTAGATCGCCACATATTTTCCACTCGTGCTCAGCATAATTGATTGAGCCAAGGAGGGCTGTCATGTTTGCATAAATATATATTCTATAATAGAGTGTAGTTTTATTATATGCCGATCTGAGGAGTTTTACAGAAAAAATGCCAACGAAAATTTGAAATAATTGAAAATGCACTATTTTGTAACGAAACATTTTTTTACAAATTTTAGTTTTAGTATAAAACCTTTCTCATATATTTTGTATTATTTAGATTACATCAATCATTTTAAATTATAATTTAAAATGATTGATGTAAAAAATAAAAGTTTTAAATCTTTCGCGGATCATATTTTAGCTCTTGAGGACCGCTGGTTGGAAACTGCTGCTCCAAAGCAAGAGCTAATCGGTCATTTTTTATAGTGATTTTTGAATTCAGCAGATGAACATACATAAGAATATGCTAATTTTGAGCCCGAAACAAAATCATTGTTGTCCAGTGTTACCATTAAGTTTTCAGGTTGGTTGGGTGATATTAATGGGATGGAGTGATATGTCATAAACCAATGTTCCGATTTTCCCGAAAATTTCTAGAAACATTTTCCCCTAATACCCAAATTTCCCTGAAAAATTTCCGAAATTTTCGACAAAAGAGTTATTAAGCTTCAAATTGGGTGAAAAAAGTCGTTCTCCCCTCACACATAGGCATTAACACCCATACATATAGAAAAATCGCCAACTTTTTTAGCATTTCTGGGCGTTTCGAGTTCTCCGAGTCCAAAAATATAATAATCTTGAGGGGGGTGATTTTTTTACCGATTCCTCTGTTATATAGAACCGCCGATAATTAAAACTGGTTCGAATACGTAAACACAATCAATAAAAACACATTAAAACATATATTGCATTAATTTTATTGCCTTTTTTTAAACATTAACGGCAACACGTCACTACATATAATAATATAATTCCCGTACATCACTAACGAAGGAACATGTTTAAATGATATCTGACGTTAAGAAATGAAAATGAATCAATGATATCTTAATTCAAACAACAGCAAATGTTATTAATTTTTTTCTAAGATGTACATTCGTTCACATGTAAGGTGATATAGAAAGATAATTTCACGTCAGAATAATCATATAGAATAGCATCTCTGAATGAATGGCAGCTGACAAACAAATTAAGAACTTAATCACTGGAATCAAATTCGAAGTTGACAAATCGAATCCTCTGTTAGAAATATGTTAAACGAGAATCAATTTGTAAATATATTTCAAGAATTTACAACATTCCATAGAAATCTTTGAAATCCCAATTGCGTGACGTTACTTATTACAAGACATCGTTTTGTAATTTGAATTTCCCATAAATTTTGCTCTTATTAATCATTAACATATAACGAATCGTTTCGCTACTCTGATAAACAATTAATTGGCTAAATTAACCATTAAATTATATTAAAAACAGACTCGTTTGCATATTCTCGCGTGTCTTGTAGAAAGGATTTCACACGAAAAAACAATAAGAAAAAAATTGTTGTTTTTTTCAAGAGAAATTTTTAGAAATTTACTCCATAAATCTACGTCTAAATACGCTTTAAATTTTTAAATATATTTTATATAATTTAATTTATTCTCGCTNGTTTATTATTGTTTTTTTTTTCTTTATATCGAAGGGAAAAAAATACGTAAACAGATCTCAAGACAATTCTTTCTTGGAAAAATATTCCAAGTCCCCTTAAGTTATAAATAATTCATGAATTTTGGACATATTTTCTTGGAAAGTAAAATTGAACGGGAAGAAATCTTTGTCTTATTTTCTTCTTTTATCTTCGAGGAATGTTTAAAATAATTAAGGTAAGGTAAAGAATTTTACGCTTGGTTTATTGCTCGATAATTTAAGAAATTATTTAAAATATAGCGCTTGTTAAACATTACTTAAGTAGATTTTTCTTGATTAAAATCTTTCATAATTTATTAGCCTATCTGTTACCTCTAAACACAATGTATCGTTTCCGATTTAAATATGCTTAATACTTTAAATCATTAAGCAAAGTAAACAACGTTGTTAAGCAATTATTAACCAGCATAAATATATAGACATTATTGAATAATAAACTAAAAATATATATGATGTGGGCTACATTAAGTAGCTTACATTTTCAGTTTGTTACTCGATGATCTGTGCATATTTACATATTAAACCTACAAAAACATTTAAAATAATAAAATTATCGAGGGAAAAATATTTTTCCTTAATTTCCTCCTTGTAATATTTACCAGAATTCGATTTTTTACGCATTATCTTAATATTGAAAGAGTTTATCTCCTTTATGACGACGTCAAAGGAAAATTCGATAAATATGTAAACGATGTTATGTAAATAATTTCTAACTGTAGACGTAATTTAAGTAGCTCCTTCGATTTCCAAGGAAATATGCCTGAGGCTTTTACGATTGAAAATATATTTTAAAGAAGCGTTAAAAGTGCTTTTCGTGCCTAACTGTCGAAGACACGGTGTGAACGTCCGCTGATGTAACGCTAAATTTTAGTGTTATTTCTAGGTTTCTATGCGTTAAAAACAATCCCCAATTTAAAAATATACTTTAAAATCTCTCAAGTGAAATCTCCTGCTTAGTTTAATTCTTTTGATGTATTATTTTTAACTGTTTTTCCTCCAATTTATATCGAATAAAAAAAGAAATACTAGCACCAATGCGCATTAAGCAAGTAGTTAGTAGGAAAATATAATTTAGGGGTTTATATTTTTCGAGAGAAAATTATATAAGAAACAAGAAATTTTATTTTGCAAACATCAACCAGCACTTCTTTGCAAATAGATGATATTCCAAACATATTAATATTCATTCTTGGTGTCATATCTGTGTCTCTGACGTGCTATCAATCTTGATTTACGTGTGAGGGGGTGGCCATTTATACCTTTTCTAAATTATCTCGCGGGAATTACGGGCCGTTGGCTAATATAGTTATTTTTGCCACGTTTAATTGGATAATGTGTTACGGTGATCCAATTAATCAAAGCGAAAGTAAAAATTTACAGAGTAAGGATAATAATCACTTACGTCTTCTGTTTCCATAATGTTACAGCAATATCCCATGGATGTAATTGCTTGATGAGGATTGATTCTTAGAGTCTCTTCGGATGAAGGAATCGAAAACGAAACACAGAATCCTCGGCAGGCATTTGTAGTGATATCGAATTCCACACAATCTGGTATACTAACCCTTCTTGTATGCCCTAATATAAGAGAAAATTAAATGAAATTAAAGATCTTTTTTTATTTCTTATTAAACTAGCACATTTATTGCATTCGCGCCTTTATTAAAAAAGAATCAGACAACTATTTTTAAAAAATAGTAAAATATTTAGTAAACAATGGTAATAGTACAGTAACAAAACACTAACAATAGTAAAGTATAATAGTATTTTTAATAAAAGCATTATATTCAAACTTTTATACAGTAAGTAAGTGAAATTTATTATATTTTTAAAAGTACCATCAAATATTTTAAAAAGAAACGATCGTACACCAGAAATTTTATTAGATTTACATAAAGGTTATTTCCAAAATATATAATAAAGATAAGAAATTTCATAGAAATAAGAAAAAAAATATATTCAATTTTTTCTTATAACCCTCAATAATTCATATAAATATAAAATATTATCTGAATTTATACGGATGATAAATTCTAAGTTTTATCCCCAATGCCAGATGAAAAGCCAAACTTTTATCTTGTGTGGAAGAAGTCGGCCATTATTATCTGGCATTTTTGTTATTCAGATTCTGTTGACGGATGCATTTAACTTCATTTCGCATCGCTGCTGATGAAGTGTACAAAAAAGAAATTGCCATAGATTCCAGTCGATTGTTGTCTCCGGAATGCTAAAGACGTCGACGATAGAAACGGGTTGGGCAGAAATGGTCTCTTGTGTAAAACGTTTTTGTACTTCTGTTTAAGTACGAAGCTTACGCAACTGCCAGTGAATAATAAATGTCTCCAGTGTATTGCTTCATCTCTCTCATACACAAGCATTAAAATCCATCTTTAAAGAACCCGAAAAATGATATGCAAATTATTCTATAACATCTTCTATCAATTGGCGTGACGTCAATAAAACTGTTTATAACTTAAAATAGTTTTAATTGATAAATAGTTTCTTACGTCAGCCTAATATTTTTAAATGGACAACCGATTGATTTAATTACCAATAGCAGATTCGAGAAAATGACAATGCTGTAAGGATCTTAATGATGGGGTAAACTCTATTTTTAGGCTTTCTTTAGATACTTAAATCGTGGCAAACGTTAAATACTATTTAAATAATAAAGATTGAAAATTTTCTAACTTATTCAGAACAGTCTAAATGTGAAAAAAATCGTTTATTTACGGATTTTTAAAGATTTCTTACGCCTAATTTCATTACAATCCAATTAATTATAGCATAATTTTGAAATTACAACTTAAAAACACCATAAAATACAATTTGTACTCAAAAAGTTAACTTATTTTTTAATTAAAACTTTTAAAAAATAGTTGAAAATACTATTTCTAATTAATCGGAAATTAGTGATTAAGAAAATGGATAACGTGTGTTAAATTTATCCACCGATGAAATAAAAATGTATCGATTGGGGGTGTAAAATGCACTCGATTAAATACATCACCGAGTGTCAACTGTCAATACGCATATAATAATGGGAAATTATTAAGGAAAGTGTGTTTTGATAAAGTTAGAAACACACAAGCGTAGGCCTATATTTATCAATTAATCTGATGTTTATTAATAGTCGCTTCCTTAACGTTATATTTGATTGTTGCAACGAACTTATCCTATTAACAGTTACTGAATGAGTACTGACAGAGTACATTAACGGCTGTTACCTTGCTTATGATGATCGTTGGCGTTTTGCTTTACGACGGCAATTAAACGTTTCCTATTAATAAAATAACCCGTCTTTTGTCGTATTTAATATAAAAGACCACTCGACATGCAAAAATTCTTTAAACCGATAGTTTTCTGGATATTTTATCTCTAAAACTAAAATAAAAATATATATATTTGTGTGTGTTTACGTACCGACTTTATGGCATCCGCTCCTTTCCCAGAAGTAAGCCTGTACTTGGATGCACAGGAAACAAGAGTAAAAAATCCAAAAGTAGGTCTTTGAAATCGAAATCATGCTTGATAAATAAAACTGTAAAAAGAAAAAGATAGAAATACTCTTGTTAAAATTATTTATAAATATTTTCTTCAAACCTTACAAAACTTGTAAATACGATAAACGTGATTTAAACGCATAAACAACTTTAGATATATAAATACACATGTTAAAGCACTTCTTAAATACGAAAAACAACATTTTACATTTATAAATCAACGTTTTAATTCGTTTATTTGCACTTATATGTATTTATTTTTATATTAACTATAGAGAAATTTACCATTAAAATGTTTGCAGATTACTCCAACTTTTAGCTGTAATTTTACATCTAATATTATATCTATATATTCAATATTCTTTTAAATGCGAATATTTTGTGCTAAATCGCATACAAAGATTTTGTACTATATAGCCTATATATACAAGGTATAATGGCAATCAGAAGCGCAATCGAAGAAGGGCAAGGGGACCCTCGCTTCTTCTTCCTCTTATTGAACCACTGTGTTATATATATATAACATACAGCATGATACGAATCTAAAAGATGCACAAGTATTTACTAAATAATATAAATAGTCATTCCGGACAACGTGGGGCTATCGAGGAAAAATGACAACACCTGTGAAAACTTTATTACAGTGAACAATGTCCAGGTAATTCTCTTCGTTGCAGATAAATATTAACTCAAAATAACATGTTTCGGGTAAAAAAATAGAAAATTTATGGCACTTTTGCTCATCTTGTCTAAATGTATGGACTTAATGGTACTGTACATCACAATGCCTATCTTGTACACATAATGAACAAGGATGGTATATGAAAAAAAAAAATAAGTATATGGTTTTTATTGCCTTTAATTACAACTCCGAATTGTTTCTATTGTTAAATTTCGTATATATATTTTTTTGTTTTGTGTTTCCCCTTCGTGGTTCCTTCTGTTTGTGATGTATTTATATACTTTAGAGCGATGCTTGGGCTAGAAAGTAATGCAATCTATAATTACCATTAACATATGAATAAAGTTTCCGAAATATAGGCTACAGTAGAAAATTATATTTATACATTATACATAGACAAGACGGGCATATCCCATCTTCTATGCCCGTCTTTGACAAGAAAGTCTAGCAAACTACCAAACTCAATGTGACACGTGGAAAAAGATCAATATACACGTATACCTCATAAATGAAATTACAGCTACGTATTGGCATTAATAATGCACTGGGCACATTCTATACATTTTATAATTCGAGAATAAAATAGGCGCAGGGCCTCTAAAAGCTTGTACGGAGACAGGGGCAAAGCTGTCCCCTGTTGCTTAGTGAATTCCTCTTGCCATTTTTTTTTGGAACAAATAAAATATGTAGAATGTTTCTTTATTAATAAAAAGCAATATTAAAGACTTTATTTTTTGTTAGTAAAATTAACATTAATTTATAGGGGAAGATACCACTAAGGGGTCACTAATTTTTTTTAGGGATAGGGAAAAATCCTTCTGGATGCCCCGAATAGACGGCTTATCCATTTTCTGCTTATTCCATGTTAAATAGAGTAAAATGTTCTAGGCATACGTACGAAAGAACATAAATTTTCTAATATGGAGGACCCTCTAACTTATAAATAATAATTATTTGAAGTATACAAAGCACTTAAATTATTCAAAAAAAAATTTGACAGAGTAGATAACTCAAATTGTTTCAAACCAACTTATTTATATCATCAAAAGAAATAAGAAGAGGTCCAAACCTTTGTACACAAACGATATAAAACAAAATTAAATTTGAGGGATTTTATAATAAAATAAAACTAGATAATCTATCAAAAAATTTAAAATAATAATAATAACTTTAATTTAATAAATAACTTTAATTTATTTAACTTAAAATATATGCTCTCCACCCCAAATTAATAATATTTTGCCCCTGCACATCATACTTTCCCTCTAGCAAACGAGTCGTGCCGGTCATCTATCTAACATCTTTTGGGGGAAATTTTTGAACTGAAATCACGTGATTTCCAGTTCAGACCAGAGTTGGTATATAGTTAATCTGGACCTCCTACCCTTAAGCTTTCTATATCTGGTCTCGGCTTTCATCTATCTAACTCTGTTCTTGAGATTCAAGAAGAACAGACAGACAAACGAACGAACGACAGTGGGAATTTATAGGTGTAGAATTTTTTCAAATTACAGAGATTATATTCAACACCATCAAACGCCGACTTTATACGAATTGAATGAAGAGATAAAGAGAATTTTTTTTTTACTCTTTTCAAAGTATCTTTGATTGTGGAATTCCTTCCCTGCCAATCTGGATTGAATAATTTTGTCTCTATATTTTCGATCTTCGTAGACGATTTAACAAAGAGAAGAGAATAAAGAAAGTTCCGCAGTGAATAAAGCAATTCGAGAAGGTGGTGGATTATTTATTGTCAAAAGAATTACATTTAAAGAAGGGAATTGAAGAAGTAAGTTGAAAAAGGATAGTTTCTAACATTGTAATTGCCACCATGGTTCGCTTTTAAATTACAACTGATTGTTACTTGATGATATTTCCGAAAAGGGGGAGTAGGTTGACGCCTTATCACCCGGGAATGTCCACTGGCTGTTGACAAGTAAAGAGGACACACACGACAGAGTCGTTGACTCTTTCATCACTTTGTTTAAATTTAATAATAATCCTAATATAATAATATCGTGCTCTCATTCCGACCGATAAACAAAGGTGAATGATCATTCGGATAAAGAGTAAACTAAAATTATAGATTTAAATTTATAAAAACAAAGTTATAGTAGTGTTCCGTAGGTAAAATTATCAATAAATAAAGCTAAAAAATTAATCCATTTTCCCCATAGAATTTATAAAAATGGCATTATAAGTCATTATCTTGCGTTTTTCGACATGTTTTTCTGCTTAAAAATCGATTTTTTTAAAACGTTTTATTTGTGCAATATCCGTGTTAAAATAATAAAATAATAATAAATAATTTCGAAGACGGGTTTATTTAAATAGTACTTTTTTTCTTATTTTTCTTACGAAATTCGAGGTGAATGCCTTTATAAATGTTTATAAATCTGGTAAAGTTTTAAATTTCCTTTATGTTAAGGTAAAGAAAGAGAAATATTTTTCTCTCTTTTTGTATTTATATTTTCAATAATATCGGCACTCGACTGAGAAAAATTCAGAAATGGAAATTCCGTTTAAGGCATTCTTAATAACTTTCATACTTAAAAAAAAAAAAAAAACATTTTAAAGTTAGCTCTCGATCTTCCTCTGTTAATTTTCATTTTTGTTAATTGTGGTCTGTTTAATGAATAGGGTTTGAGACGATCGATATAAGAAAGCTTTACCTGTTGACCGTTATCTGAAAAGATAATCGAAAGAACAGTTTCCAATTAGTGGCACCTTTAATTATGTTCTTTTCTAATAAACTCTTACCCCCAAAGACAATCAATAGCGCTTACTTTTCTTAAATATCCTCCAGGTGATTGCATCAGGAAACGAAAATAACAATAATATGTACAATAATAATGATGTTTTTCTATACGAAACATTCTGGTCGTACTAGAATCGTATTCAAATTGAAGTCATTAAATGATGTTTTCGTAAGTTACTAGGAGTAAGAAAGAATAAACAACATTTTCTTATTATTTTTTCTCTTCTGTATTGCCGATTTCTGCGTATTTATCGTCGTTTTCGTCAGGGTGAACATACTCAAAAATCACATTTTCAACTTTTCAACTTAACCTTATCCACTTTCTCGTGTATAGGCTACATATGACTAAGAAAGTAGATAAATTTACCAAAGTATAAATTTTAAAATACATATTCTCCTGTGAATAAATTTCTTATATAAAAAAAGTAAACTAAACAAATTTTTAAAGTAGAATTTTCAGCAAGTTTCTCTTTTATTTTTATATAAGAGTAGACCCTATATACAAGTAACCTAAGTGCAATACATGTATATAAGCTCGTACAAAGTTATAAATCATACATAAGAAAGAATTCCAATTACTTCTACGTTGTTTTTTTTTATCAACTCTAAATATTTAAAATTAAATAATTTGAATTAGAAAATCATTTTATTAATGCAAATAACTTCAGAAAAACATAAAAATGAAAGGAAAAGAAAAAATTCTCAGACAAACGAGATATTAATTATATTTGGTGTAGCAATGAAAATCAATTCTGTTGATATTTTTCTTTTGTTTTTTGGCAATTAGAAGACGTTTCATTCGACATAAACACCTTGTTAATGTAGTTTCCTTCGTTCTTTTCGAGAGATGTTGTACGTCTCGATGTCCCTCGATACTAGGAACAAGCAAAATCACTCAAACTATTTTATTTAAGTTCTCATTAAACTAATAAGGGGAATATTAAATCAATTAGTATCGGCTATACTGCACTTGTTCCTTCCTGTGGGATTCCTTAATTAATTACAATAAAGAAGGTATCCTATGCCATCTAGTGAGCTCCGATCGAATTATTTTATTAATAAAAGTTTATTACTAAGAAACGATAAAGATTATATTTATTCCTTTAATGATATTCTATTTTGATGTATCCCAATTAGAACTTCATTAACAATACGAAGTTCCCGTTGAATACGGATGAAATCGGTAAGAGTTAATGCGCCGCATTAGTCAATACGGATTTCAACACGTGTTGTTACCGAATAATAAAACTTGTTAAAGATTATGGATATAATTGGTGAAAATGTATAAGTAACACGCGTGTACTGATTTCCGTTTCTTTAAAAATTAAATAAATACTGCTTAACTTTGCGTGCTTTTAAGTAACGAACTATACCATTGGTTCACTTACTTAGCTGTTTGTCAATTAGAAGCGCCCCATGTTTTTTAATCACTGTAATTAATTATATTCTACTTTCGTACGGCACCGAACATTCACTCTGTTCAATATTTCACGATTACACGGCCACTTCTGTAAAACATACCACGTATTTCTGCTCGTCTTTTCACATTCCCGCGTGAATCACCTCGTATGTTAAACAATAAAATTTAATAAGATGCGGAATTGTAATTTCGAGACAACTGGAAATAATTAATCTAATAAAAATGAAAAATAATTCGCCGGATGATTTTGCAGCCGTCTTCGCATGTAAATATATTCCCATAATATCCGAATTAAAACAATCAGAGTGTGGAAATTAATCCCTGTTCTTACTTTTCGGCTAAAAATTAACTAATTGTTCGAGTTTTCGGTAATATCATTAGTATTTTTCGGCTTTAATTTAATCTTATCACTTAAATTATACTACTTGAAATAGCTTTAAAGAAGAAACATTAAACAAAAACAAAAGCGGAAGTTCGTATATATTTAATCGGGGTCTCCAGCCTCTAAGTTTTCTATATCTAGTCTCGTCTTTCGTCTCTCTAAATCTATTCTCGAGATTAAGGAACGGACAGACGGACGGACGACAGTGGGAATTTATAGGCCTACAGTTCTTTTTTTTTCAAATTGCAGCCCAATAATTGACAATTTTAAACATAATCGTCATCCATATTTGCTTTTTCGAATTTCAATATATCGCCTTTGGATATTTTCACTTTTTCATAGTCAAAGATTGGTGAATTGATTTTATTCTCTTGTCATTCTTATGAAAAACGTGTTTATAAATCTACATTGAAACTAATTCATTGATGAGTGGAGTACTTGGCGTGGGAAGGAAAAGTAGGAATTTTTCTAAGAAATGAAATCCGTCATAATCGATACGTCATACAAATATTGATGTTTACACTGAACGATAAAAGAATTCATTCGGAAACACTGCTTTCATGCTTTTGTTAAGTGTCGTTGCTTGTGGTTTCCTCTCTCTCTCTCTCTCTCTCTTTTTTTCTTTCCCGGCTGTTATATATAACAGAGAGAAACTATGGCGCTCGGTCAAAAAATGGCACCCCAAGATTTCTATAATTTTTGGCTCAGGACACCGCGAAACGTCAAGAAATGCAAAAAATTCGATTGTTTTTCCTGTATGTATGGATGTTAGTGTGAGTGTGTGTGTGTGTGGATGGGACTATTTTGTCCACCATGTTTGAAGCTTAATTTAACTCCCGTGCTTTTTGTCGAAAATTTCTGAAATTTGGCAGGGAGGTTTGTATATTAGGGAGATCGATACTATTAAATTTTGATGGTTAAAGGTCGAGGAGGTAGGGAGATAAAGGGAGTTGTGTGTATCTCCATTAGGGTCGGACTTAATGGAGATTTTATTCGTTATTAGCATTTAAATTTTTTTTTTTTTTTATAAAACCCTTCTCTACCCAGAAAATTAAGCTTTTTGCCGTTTTATAATAGTTAAAAATATAAAAAGTTTTTAAAATAAAATACGATAACAGATGGCNGAGAAGAGATTCACTTTTAATTTTGTTTTTGCTTTATATATATAAATTTATTTTCTAAATGTTAATATATTTATCTATTTTTAACTTTTTAACAATTTTATTCTACGATTTAATACGTGCATATTTATAAGTTTATGTAGTAAATTTACAAGAACATTATCACCATGTTCTTATATTTTAATTTAGAACAAAAGTTATATAAATTGTTTTTATGATTAAAATAGAAATTCATTTTATAATTTAAAATGGTTTTTTTTCATTTTTAATATTAAAAAAATATGTTCTAATATTTTAAAAATTACAGTTTTTAGAATATTACATGATTTTTTTTATTATTTTTTTTATTATTAAAATGGTTTTATAATGAAAAATTTTGATGTTTAAATGATTATTTTTTCACCAAACAATTTTATAAGTATAAAGTTTTATTATATATAAATATTTTTCAGATTTTTCGGAAAAATATATTCCGAGAAAATGATAAATAACGAAATCTAAAAATCTTAGAAAGCGCTAAAAATAGAATTAAATCTTCGCATGAAACAAGGAGGGAGGAAAAAAATACTATTTTCAAAGCTAATTCCTTACAAAATCCATTCATGATTTATTCTATTTTGCTTGATTTAACGGGAGATTACTTATCCTGTAAACGTTTTATTGCCGCTTCTATAAACGAAAATACAAAGAAACAGTACAAAACTTATTGATTTTTCGTATTATGTAAGTAGCAAAGGGTCCAGTTTGTACATCGGCTTATCCTATTCTTCTTCGTTAATTAATTATATTATGTCAATACCTTAACTTGAATAGCATTAGGAATTTATAAGCACCCCTTTTAGAATTGTAAACCCGAAAATTCCTGGAAAATTTCTCGATAAAACTCTTATATTTTTACCTGTTTAAAGTTTTATAGGATGATCCTGTAGGATTAAAACACATTATTTAATAACTAGAACCGTTAAAAGTAAAGGAAACAGCTGAAAGATTAATGCTCTAACCTAATTATTTTGATAAGGAAATGAAAAGATGTCGAGAAGAATCACGGGGTCTAAGAATTATGTTTCTTGTATCATCACGTGCTTGGAAACAGTACGTGATACAAACAATACGTGGATAGGCATCGGTAATAGGCATCCTTCCAACTGACTTGATTAATTGAGGAAGGAACAATTGCAAAAACTGTTAATACCCCTTTTAAAAAATGTTATTTATTTATAGTTTTATATAAATAAATTTCATAAAAATACAATATTTTTTTTATGTTTTTCCCCTTCTATTCAGTGAAATTCATGTGAACGGTTTCTTACTATCGATCACTTTAAGATTGCTTTACAATTGAATTTTATTGTTGAATTCACTCGCTTTACCTATGTATTTTTCATACGGTATTTTCTATATATATATATGTGTATATATATATAAACTTTAAGCCAATTTTACTATAAATTTGAACTTTTTACTTTCCCGGCTGTTATACATAACAGAGCGAAAGTATGGCCATCGGTCAAAAAGTCACCCCAAGATTTGTAGATTTTTGGATTCGGAGGACCTCGAAACGCCGAGAAATACAAAAAAACTGGGTTTTTTTATTTATGAATTTGTATGTGTGTGGGGGTGGCAGGTTTTTATTCCATTCATCTTGAAGCTTAATAACTTCTGTGCTTTTCGTCGAAAATTTCTGAAATTTTGTAAGGAGGTTTGTATATTAGGAATATTGATGCTATTAAATTTTGGCGGTTAAAGGTCGACGGGGTGTTGAGATACAGTGGGTCACGTGTCGTATCTCGAGTGGGGGTTGGACTTAATTAAGCTCCTTATTAGCATTTACAATCTTTCATAAAACTCATCGCAACTTCTACTCTAAAAATTAAGCTATTTTGTCACTTTATAATAATTAATAATATAAAAAGTTATTTTTTAATAAAATCTCGTTAACAGATAGCGCCACATACAACTTTAGCTCAAGCCGAGAAAGTTACGCAACTCGTTGCTGGATTGATATTTTTTTTTAATTAAAAAATTGCTCTCGTGCAGATAATTAGAAAATAATTTATGCAAAAATAATTTTAAGTTTATTTTTCGAAATTTCTTTAGAAAATTCGGAAGAAAATAAATCTATTTTTAATGTAAGAAATATTAATAATAGAAATGTCAATTAAAAAGTCAGCGTGTAGTACAAATGCTCC